CAGCAGCCGAGTTGTAAAGGACCAATTTATCTGAAGGATTGTTCATGAGGGCGTCAGTAGAAAGTGCCTTTTCCTTTCAAACTATGCTATGGATCAGCAACAGCCACCTGAACAGGCAGATCGGATCTCTTAATTTCTCATTCAAAGAACAGCATCTTCAACAATTAGTATTAGCCTCGACTATGAACTCAATGCCCCGATGTGGGTCTTGAACCCACAACCTAAAATCCCACTCTTTATTATACAGAGATGTGAAAGGGGGTTTGACTGTGGTGTAATTGGCTGCCTCCCCCACCATTGGTCCAGCTAGCCGAGATTTTAGAGCATAAATCAGACCATAATAATAATCCTCGCATTTGATATAGTGCCTTATCATGTCTTTCAAAGTACTTCACAGAATATACTGTAAAGTGATACATATTTTCTGGGTGAAAAGCAGCAGCCAATTCGTAGGGGGTTAGCAGGTCGCAGAGGTAGGGTGGGACGAGGCCATGGAGGGCTTTGTAGGTGAGGACCAGGATCTTGAACTGGATCTGCTGAAGGATAGGGAGCCAATGGAGTCGGGCGAGAATGGGGCTGCAGAGTTCTGGATTATCTGCAGCTTGTGCAGGGAGGAGCTGGGAAGGCCAACAAGCAGAACTTATCAGATAGACTAAAATGTTCTATCTATTTAACTCTATTTTGTGTATTTCACCACAATGTTGTAGCACACATGCCTATACAGCATTTTTGTATGGTGACCATTTCCGGTGCTAACTAGTTAAGCAACCATTGGCAGAAAATCCTCACAGCACCTTCAAAGCAAAAGTCTCAAGTCTCGTCAGTATGAATTCATTCTCCCAAGAAACCCTGTTGCAAATTAAATTGTCAAATGTACCTGATTATTCCCTTTAAGTATATAAAACACTGTTGGAATCAAATAGTGCCAAGGAACTATCTCTTAAAAATGAATAGTAATCTCACCAAACAGTACAAACACACATTATACAAACATTGGAAGAGGACAGTATTGTTGTGATAAGGAGGCAGATATTCTTCTTCCTCTTGAGCAATCAATTTCTGAATTGACCTTGAATTGTAGTGTGAATTACTGCACCAATGAGCTGAAGGTTTCTGGGTAAATTTATCCGTTGTGATGCATTATTTAATATGTATGTGTTAATTAACACTAGTAATAAAATTATTGATCTAAAGATATTTAACACCTTAGCTGACCCCCAGATGTGCTGAAAGCAAATTCCTGACAACATTCTGGATGTTCAGAGCTGAAAAGTCAATTGCACCATACATTAGAATTCAAATTTACAGATCAGGACATTAAACTGCAGGTTAGCCTGAGAGCCTGACTGTAGGTTAGCAACAACTTAGACAAAACAAATCATAGCAGTCAGTCTCGTAATAAATGCCTTGTCCACGATGCTTGTAGAACATGTCAGGGATCCACCTCCAGCACACCCAGGGACTGGTCAATAAAGTAATAATAATAATAATCTTTGCATTTGATATAACGCCTTATCACGTCTTCGAGATGTCTCAAAGCGCTTCACAGAATATATTGTAAAGTGTCTTGACTGTATAGTTTGTGGGTGAAAGCGGCAGCCAATTGTGCACGGCAGTGTCCCACAAACAGTAGTGGATTGAAGTGACAAATTCATTATTATTATTTTTTTGAAGGAATTATTAGCCCCAGAAAAGCAATCTGCCAATCAACTTCCTACTTATTGGCAATCTGCCAATCAAGTTCCTATTTACTGTTAGGCAAACAAAGGCTGTGGAGTCAGGAAACTTGCCCAACATTTCGTCCTGCCGGGAATCAAACCCAGGTCTCTCACTTGCAAGGCTAATGCTCTAACCACCAATGTGTTAAATATCATAAAGTCACCATATTGATTACTAGTGTAATTAGCACATAGACATGTAAAGTTTTGTACTGTAAAATCATAAAATGCAAGTGATCCCATCAGTTTCAGAACTCTAGATGGTTTTATATTTAGAAGCTGTGTTTGTTTTTCTAGTTCTGGTGCAGCCAGCGGACTGAGCATGAGCATGTGTGAGTGAGAGGGAGTAAGCCTATGTAAGTGGGAAAGAGGAGAGAGAGGGACAAGACTGAGCGAGCTTTGAATGACAGAGTACAAGAAAAAAAAGACAAAAGTGTATGAAAGAGTGACAGTGAACCTCACACAGTATGAGAGATAAAGGGAAAGACTCGGTGAGAGGAAAGGAGTGGCTGAAACAAGTCTGAGTGTAACATCACTCCCCTCAAATGGTGTCCAACATCATCTCTATAAAGCACTCTGATACATTACTCTACATGAAGGACTCAATATAAGTCCAAGCTTGTTCAGATGGGAAAGAACAAACGAGTATGGCATATAGTGCAGAAAGGAAAGCAGGAAGTTTCAGAAAAAGAATGATGTGATAGCTTTTCTTTTGGTCTGGCGAATGTTTGACTCATTCTAAAGCATATCCCCATGCTTACGAATATTCAAACCAGGCAGAGTTCCACGTCAGGCTCCGGGATCCCATCACTCCCACCCTCACCCGACTCCAGTGGCTCCCCAACCCCCAAAGGATCGAGTTCAAGATCCTCGTCCTCACTTTCAAGGCCTACCTCTCTGACTGCTGACTCCCTACCAACCTGCCCGCTCCCTCCGTTCAGCTCCATGTCTCCCACCCGACCTGCCATCGGTGGCCGGGCTTTCAGCCTCCCTGCCCACACACTGTAACTCCATCCCACGGTCCCTTCGCCTCGCTTCCTCCCTTGCCTCCTTCAAGGCTGGTCTCAAGACCCTTCTCTTCTATTGTGCCTTTGGTCGCTCTCCCACCTCTCTGCCTTTCCTCACCTCTACACCACCCCTCCCCCTTGCTCGGGTCTCAACACCTGACTGTTCAGCACTTTGGGATGTCCTTGCGACGTGAAAGGCGCTCCATAAATGTAATTTTGTTGTTGTTTCTTGTTGTTGTTGTATGCATGTCCCCTACAACAACAACAAGATTCCATTTATAAAGCGCCTTTCACGTCAGGAGGACGTCCCAAGGTGCTGTACAGTTGGGTCATGACCGAGCAGGGGGGAAATGGTCAGAGGGAAGGGAGGGAGCGAGGAGGGGGAAATGGTCAGGGTGAGGGAAGGGAAGGGAGGGAGCGAGGAGGGGGAAGAGAGTCGAGAGGGGAGCTGAAGGCTCGGTCAAAGAGAAAGGTTTTGAGACCGGCCTTGAAGGAGGAAAGGGAGGAGGCGGCGAAGGCACTGGGGGATGGAGTTCCAGAGCCTGGGGGCTGAGAGGCTGAAGGCCCGACCACCGATGGTAGGGCGGTTGGGGCGGGGGATGTGGAGCAGACCGGAGCCAGAGGAACGGAGGGTGCGGGCAGGTAGGTAGGGGGATAGTAGGTTGGAGATACATATGGAAATTCCGTGTCTGGAAAGGAATATGCACTTTCGCCCCAGAGGGACACACCTCATTTACCCAACACTGGAAAGAATTAGGCTTGGGATAGAAGTATTAAGTTAAAGTACAGTACTAGGCATCAGAGCGATTCAATTCCGACAATAGGTTGCTAATTAGGTCAGCCCCAGAGACCACATTCCCCCTGAAATCCACCTCAAGGGTGCTCTCCAAAGGTCAGTGCCGGCTTTCAGTTGAGCCCTTCCTCCCTGCAGCCGCTTTCTCTTTTAACCACATATCCATCTTATTGCTTGGTCCTATATTTCACAAATGAGTCACAAAAATCCTCTCCACCGTGTGCCAAGGAGCTCAGAACCATAAAGGAAAAGCTTTTGAGCACACATTATATACAACATAAGATTAACCTGAATTGATAGTTTGCTGCCATTGAAGAGAAATGAAAATGACCAGAGTATAACTTCCATATTTCTCTGGGTGTTTTGTTATTGCCTCATTCTTAATGCCACTTCAAATTCAACCTGTTAGAGATATCTAGCTCACTGGCCTATAGTTGTTTTATAGGATTTTTTAAAAAAGTTTTCACATTTCCCCTCACTGATCCTAGAGCCTGGGTGATTAAAAGACCCACCTGGCCTGGATGAACTGCACATTATAGAATTTATTGCAATGGGAATGAAATTGTTTGCACGTTGGTTGATTTATTGATACCAATTCACTATCAATAAATCAACCAAAGTACAAACAATTTTTTTCCCAGTGCAGTAAGTTCCAGTAAGTCATCCAGGTCAGGTGGTTCTTTTAACACCCCCAGGCTGTCTATACTTCTGTAGTTTCTCCCAATCTTAATGCTTCTGTTCTGTTTTGCAATTTCTATCTCTGCATCAATTTGTCAAACCCAAGCTATGCTGTGCTCTGGTGAAGCTGCTCCCAGACTTACGACACATAGTTCTGGTCGCCACAACATAAGGGGACAGCAGTGTGGAGTATTCTCAATGGTAGAGGAATGATCTTTGAGCAACGATTAGACAACCAGGGCTCTTCAGTTTGGGGAGCTGTAGTCGTCTCAGCAGAAACTTTATAGAAGTGTATTACATTTTAAATGGAATTGAAAAGGTAAAGTTTAAGATGCACCAAGACAGTAAAACAATTGAATGGCAAAGGGTAATTTCAGGACAGACACCAGGAATGTATTAGCTACCATCTTGAGATAGAAGTATTTCTTTACCAGAGGGTAATTAAAAATTGAAATAGGTTATCAAGAAGAGTGTGAGCGACCAGGCCTCAATTAAAACACCTGATGCGGTGATAAGAAGACAGTAGTGTGTGTTCCAGGACGAGATCAAATAGACCACAGAACATTTTTCATCCTAACTAATCTTGTGTTCTTTTAAAGAAGGTTGTGCATCGTTTCTGTTGTGAACATGTACGCAAAGAATTTAACTAATAGTCTTATTGTACCAGCGAGAATCATGAAATGAAGCCACTGAGAACACAGTAGATAGTATTCAATATCATTGAGTCGAAAACCTTTTGCCGCCAGGTAAACAATAACAAATCTGTTCAAACATATCAAGTCAAACATCAAATCTGTTTCTTACCCGATTCTGTCTGGCCACTCTCACTGAAACGAAGATTGAGAGATGGTTTCCAGGGCATGGCCCAGGGTGCTGTCTTTATATTGAAAGTACACGTGTTTTGATTAAGCAGGGGAAGCAAGGGTGAGACATCAGTTAACCAATGGCCAACACGTCTGTAATCAGAAATAATAAAGCAATATTTTTTAATAATCAAACTGAAAACTGAATGACAATAAAGGCTTGAATAAGATTTCGCCCACAAATATACTGTCAATTTCACTTCTATTCTGTCTAGTCTATTCTGTGAAGTGCTTTGAGACGTCGAGAAGACGTAAAAAGCACTATATCAAATGCAAGGATTATTATAAGATACAAAGACTATTTATCTTCATGCACAGATTTTGTGGACCTTAATTAAGTTTCAGTGATCTTTCCCCTCCCCATTCCCCTGCAGTCCCCAAAGCAACTCGGGTGCTCAACTAGTAGTGTCAATTGCTTGAGACATCCTCCCGATGTGAAAGGCAATAGTGATGCCTTAACACAACTCATCTAATAAACCAACCATATTTAAAGCTCAGATCATGTTTAGATTAAGCTGACGAATACTTGGTATTCCCAACTACATTATAAATGAAAAAATACGAACATCACACTTTCTATACAGTTATAGAAATCAGGGAAAATTTTATTTTTTTCAATAAATAAAAACATTAAACAAGTGACATAATTAATGTTATTGATTCTTAATTTACATACCAATGCACATATTAATATATAAGAATTTAAAGAATATTAAAAAAATTGTAGTCTTCTAATCACTACTCTGAATTGCTTCTTCCAACCAACTGCATTAATAAATTAGTTACTGGTTTACCTGCGGAATGGGGTAATCCATCTCCCAAGCTCAAGATTACAGTACGAGCTATTCTGCTCACAGCATACATAAAGCTGAACTGTATGATCCCAATGGGCACATGATTCATCTCTTGTTCCAGGGCATGATAATGAAGCATCAAGTTCCAGAATGTTAAATGAAGATAAGTCTAAGGAAAGTAAAAAAAGGATGTTTCAATACTAAGATATATTTTCATTTGTAATGTAGTAAAGAATTTTAATTTGCTGGTGTTTTAATCAAATATTATAGTTTCAATGCAAAAGGAATGAATGTGGCTAACATAAAGCACAAAAACATAAACTCAAGAGCAGGATAAAATTGAAATTTCTTAGTATGCGTTATTCAGCTGTATTTGAAGTAAAGCTTCCTACAATTAAGATTTATTAAGCCCTCTATTATAATATTCTTATAATGCTATTACACTACAAATTTACATAGGCATTAACTCTTTTTAACCAATTAAACATCTTGTGACAAAATAGCTTTTACACTGATGATATGGTCCATATTATATTGAAAGAAGTAGGATTGGAACCAGGAAGTGCAATGTTGTACGATAGGCAATTAAAGAGGACAGAGCAGTCAACATGTCAGAGAGAGAGGGACCACTTAATAGTGGAGGAGCCTGAGTGAGGGAGGAGGTGACCACAAGCCCGGTCAAAGGACTGTCATGATCTAAAAGGGAAGGAGAGGGCCAGGCAGAGGATTGGGGGAGCGTTTGGACGCTTAGAAAGGACAGGTTGGCGATAAGCATGCAATTAGAGCTTTGAAGGGTTGAGTGTCTTTTAATAATAATTATTATTATTATTATAAATATTATTAATATATTATTAATTATTACTTATTATTAACGATATAAAAAATTAATAATTATATTCTTATTTATTATTCATATTTTATTCTTATTATTTTATTATTGTAGTATTTATTATATATAATTAATAAGTAATAATTAATAATATTGATAATAATAATTATATTATTGAGTGTCTTTTTAAGGAGTGAGTGATGACAACAGTGTGGAATAGGTGGTGGGTTTCACAAGGAAAGTGAGGTTGGAGAGGGATGAAGGAGAAATGGGGGCTAAAATGTGCTATGCAGGAGCAATGCGAGAGGGCACAAAGAGAGGGGCAAAGAATGGAGGAAGAAGGCATGGCCTGACCAATTTAATCATTAAACTCCTTTCATTTGGAGTCGGAAATAAGGATGAAGGCGGCTTAGGAAGGGTGGAGGCAGTGATCAGTGGTGGAAAATAGTATATTGGGATTGTTTTTGGCCTTCGGGATGATTATGGAGTTTTTTGCCTTGGAGAAAACGTAGAGGTAATCACAGAGGTCCTCAAGCTACATTTCCCGATAGCCAGTGAGGCAGGTTATGTGCCACCTGCTTTCAAGGACTCACAATTAGAATTGGAGGGAACAGAGGTGTTTGTTGTACCAAAGGGAATGTCTGGAGTGAGAGACGATTCTGGATTTTGGGTGTGAGGGAAGAAGAAAGTGGGTTGAAGGTAGGGAGAGGTAGCTATTGAGCAGCTCCATGGGAGTATCAAGGTCATGGCAGGTGAAAGCCACAGGGAGCGAAGTTCAGAGGGTTAATTGGCATTTTAGAGGGAGTTTTCTCCAAGGACAGGGTGGGGGAAAGATCTATAAGAAGACAGAGATGAAGTAATAATCAGAAATGGCATCGTCAGAGATGGCAAGCTCAGATATCAAGACTATATAAAAGTTAAAACTGAAGTTAACCATGATGAGGTGAAGCCACGAAGAGAAGTAAAATATCAGTGAGGAAAGTGCCAAGTGGTTTAGGAGGGGGATAGATTATGAGGATTTCGAAGGAAAGGAGGGAAGCGTGATATAGGGTTAGGATGCTCAAAAAGAGCAGCCAGAGCAGATGGGAGGTAGACCCAAAATGGTTAAAGAGATGAAAGTTCACAGTTGGTCTGATATAGCGCATTTCACATCAAGAGGAAATCTCAAAAGTGCTTCACAGCATGCAATGTAAAGTGTAGTGACTGGGTATTTGTAGGCAACCGCAGCAACTCATGTGTGCTCAGCAAAGTCCCACAAACAGCCATGAAGTGAATGACCAATTTTACTTGGAGGATTGTTGGCCAGGACACGAGAAACTCGCTTCTCTTTCTGAATAGTGCCATGGGTTCTTTAACGTCCACCTAAACAAGCAGATGGATCTTCAGTTCAATGTCTCATCCAAAGGATAGCACCCCCATTAATGCAACATACCCCCAGCACTGTACTGAGCGTCAGTCTAGATGAATTCCAAGTTGTGATGTGAAGCTTGAACTCACAACCTTCAGACTCAGAGGCAAAAGTGCTACCAACTGAACCAGGCTGACATACCGCCACTAAAACAGCCAACTGCAGATGTTTTGGGACCTGCTGCAAGATTTTCAAACTACATCACAATTTTTTTCTGTCCCTCACTTCACTATTATATGCATCTTCACAGCACAATCTCTTAGATCTCTTTGGTTGTTTCTTTAGGTCCGGGAGGTCCAAAATTTTGTCCGCCACAGGTCAACGGGCCACATCCTCTATAAATCATTCTCTCATTCCCCCTTTCTTAGCTCTTGCTCCTCTCTCCCCTCAATAAAATCAATGTCAGGGCTGGAATCCCCCGCAGACTCCTGTTGGACCATGCTGCTTTAGGTGATAGCTGCTATCCAAATCAAACTGATATTAACTCTCTTCCCTCTTCTTGCTTATCAATTTGGATGTTACCACGTCAGGTCTAATAATCTAGGTTGATAGTTTAGCACAGCACTGGAGGAATCTTGCATTGTCAGAGATGCCATCCTTCAAGATGCTAAACTGAAGTCCTGCCTGACTGTTCATCAGGTGGATTTCAAACTCAATGATAGTATTTAAAATTTAAGAGTTTCTCCCAGTGTTCTGGCCAGCAATACTTTAGAAAAGTTTATCACTCATTTCATGTCTATCTGAAGTACCATTCTGTGCACAGATTATCTGCAAGTACACAGTCACTACAATTAACAATTACCTGTGAAGTGCTTTAAGTTGTTTGACTTTGTCAATATATCATCCAATACAAAGAATGATTGGACTTGCAGCACCTCATAAGCAGTCTAGACAAGTCCCAATTCTTTTCAGCAATTCTAGTTAAAAACTTAAATGGCAGTAAGCCAAATGTGAAGCATTAAATTAAGAATGACCTTGAAATCAAATACCAATGTTGAGGACATAAAATGACGTCAGTAAGAGGCAATCATCAGGAAACTGTCACTATTTTACTAGGGACATCCAGCATGTAACTAACACAGGATCCAAATAGCTATATTACCAATGGCAAACCTTTATATTTTATAAGAGGGTTAAAATGTCAACATTATGTCTGGTCTTATATTTTCTGCAGATGACATTAATCATAGACCTATCTTTTTGCTGCATAATACAGCAGCTGCCCATAAAAGCATTTGAGTTTTAATTATACCCTTCACCGTCCTAAGCAGCAACACAAGTTGAATTAGAATGGTAATTGTTCCCAAAAATGATCTCCTGGAACAATGAAAAAAGAAAAATAATCTGTAAATATTTGTGGCATATAGCTGGTGTGGAGCACTGCAGCACATTATCTTTTCATTTCCAGGACCTATTTTTGAATTCGACCCAGACTGAAGTCCTGCCTATGTCAAAAGCAAGGATTATTATTATTATCAGAATAAAAGTCTCCTCCCTTTCCTCTGGTTAAAATGTGGACTGAATTTGGCATTGTAACTTCCTTTCTTGTGATCACCATACCTAGCACAAATCTGTTGGAAGTTGACAAAATATTCACTGTTGGCAATTCCACTCTCACGTGTGGAGAGAAATTCCACTAAGGCCAAGATGTATTCTACTTTCATCCCTTTTTTAGATGTCCAGAATTTGGCAAATTGTTGTAATTGGTCTCAACTTTGAAGCCAAATTTCTGAGGATTTTTAAAAAAAACTGCTGAAAACCACCTTCAAATTATGTAGGTGTTCAAGAATTTCCAAAATTCTGGATGCTGTCTAATGCTAAGAAAATAGATTAAGTTTAGACAAATTTCTACCTCATTGTGAGTATAAAAAAGCTTAATGCTAAAATAAATTTAGATGGCTACAATTTTTAAAGGATTTTATTCTCCAGGACTGATGAATTTAACTAAACAAAATAAGTGCCGTATAAATTCTAACCTCAACAAGGCCATTTGATGAGGATTAAAAATGGAAATTAGAGTATATGTGACAAAACTATCAGACAGGATTGATATTAACTTCCGTCATGGAGTGATCTTTATTACCATATTATTTAATTGATAGAAAGTGACGAGTACTACAAATGCAATGAAGTGCTAACAATATGACTGAAATCCATGATTAATTTTGAGCACATAATCTGAATATTTTATGTGTTCATTTTGAGAAATACCCTCAAAAATCTTTAGGGATAGAATAAAACTGTATTTACTATTAACCTTTAATAATCCTTCAATTTAATATTGCATCTTTCCTGCAAAAGCGCTTCACAAAAGTGTGAAATACTGGAAAGTGTAGTAACTATTTTGTAGTCAACTACGTTCCAGACAATTTGGGAGCATGTAAATAAGGAAACGAAGGGGTCAAGGATGGAGCGTTCGGGTAGGCAACAGGTGACCAGGCAGGGTAGGAAGGAAAAATTGTTTACGGAGATAAAGTGATGGTGGTTGGTTGAGTAGGACTCAAACGATTGTGGTCCCACTAAGGTCGATGAGGCAGGAGACGATGGAGGAAGATGGCATGATCGACTGTGTCGAAAGCAGGAAGCCATGGTCACCGAGAGAGTCTGTAAAGTTCTTTCTTCCAATGTTCTCCCAATATGAAAGTCCATATAAGTGTAAATTGCTCATGTTAATTCCAAAAAAANTGCCTCCACAATAGAGAGGCAGTGATAGCTTTTCAACCATGTTCGAAAAGCATCAAACGTATCGACTCAACCGAAACCGCAATGTAGCTAAAATCAATAATTTACATCAACCTGTCCGCTCCCTCCACTCAGCAGGCTCCGGCCTGAATAATAATAATAATCCTTACATTTGATATAGAGCTGTTCACATCTTCTCGACGTCTCAAAGCACTTCACAGAATAGACTGTAAAGTGAATTGACTGTATATTTGTGGTCTATAACATTATCTAAGTGTAATAAAAGAATGATAGAAGATTTTTCATTTTAGAAGGAAAAAATAATGTAAACCGATAAACACCACTATAACTGTAGTGTACATTTCAAATACAGTATATAGGGCATTGAAAAAGAATGGAGGCTAGGTTGTGCCTCTGTATACAATCACTACACTTTAAAAAAAAATATGAAGCATTTTGAAACGTTCTTGATGTTATAGGTGCTATATCAAATGGAAAGATGATTAATATTATTGTAAGACCCAAATGAAATTCATCTTCTTGGAATATTCAATATTTTTTAGTGACTGTAAGATAATTACAAATGCACTATTCTGAAACATGTCAGTTTGCTACACTGAATATGCATTAATTCTTGCCCTTTCATGAGGACAGTTACCAATTAGATCATTTGAGCAGAAGCAAGACATTACCCCTGAATTAGGAGAAAAAATCTGCGGTAGTTTCCATGCATGAACAAATATCTTTGGATGGTTTCAAATTTTGTAATATGATATATGGAAGTCTTGAAAGAGTAGAAAACTTGCCAATTACTCTCCAATGTAATTTAGGACCCAAATATAAATGATAAAGTAACTATGTTAGAATACACTTATATCTTCAACACAATGTACAATTATGGACAGGAAGTTATTCTGAACAATAAGTGATATTAAAATATTCAGTATTCCATTGCCTGCCTGCCTATGTGATCAATTTTACATTTTTAATAGTCTATTTGAAACTCTTTTTCCTATTTTTAAGTAGTAATGCAGGAAACCACTCATGCAAAACAATCAAAAAAAGTAATTCACAGAATCACTTCTGATACATGAATTATTAACCTAGTTTTTTACATTAACAAAACTGGTTTGCTTTGAAATTAGATTCATAGCATTCTGTTTTTCCTATAATCCCCTTTAAACATTTCCAACACATATATAGGAATAAAACAAGTTCAGTGAACCTACCATCCCCATCCTCACCCGGCTCCACTGGCTCCCCATCCCTCAAGAAGAGTTTAAAATCTTTGTCCTCACTTTTAAAGTCCTCCACGGCCTTCCTCCTCCCTACCTCTGCGACCTATTAATACCTATCTGGCTGCTCCCTCCGCTCAGCTGGCAATGGCCTGCTTCATGTCCCCCACCTTGCCCGCCTCATCATTGGCAGTCGGGCCTTCAGCTTTTTGGCCCCCACTCTCTGGAACTCCATCTCTGGAATCACTCCTCCCCTTGGCTCCTTCAAGGCCCATCTCAAGACTTTCCTCTTCGATCATGCTTTCAGCCACTTTCCTACCTCCCCTACATCTCTCGATTGCAACCCGCAGCTGGGACGCTTAACTGTTCAGTGCCTTTGGACGTTCTTCCGACATAAAAGGCACTAGATAAATAAGTTTGTTGTCCTCCTGACATGAACGGCAGATGTAAGGATTATTACTTTTATTATTAAAAATGCCATGACAAATTAATAAAAATAATAATTATCGGACACCAGGAGAAACTCGCTTCTTTTTTTTTTTGAAAAGTGCCAAGGAATCTTTAACATCCACCTGAATAACATACAAGACCTTGATTTAACATTTCATTCAAAGGAAGACACCTTCAATGCAGCATTCTCCCAGCACCTCATCAGAATGTCAGCTTAGACTATATAATCAAGTTTATACCAACCATATAACTAACAGCAGTGCAGTTCTGTATGAGTTTGAGCTTATGAATAGTACGGCTGGGAAGACCAGCAATAAGAGCATGAGAAGAGCCTAAGCGGGAGAAAAACGAAGGAATGAATAAGTATAAGATTTTAATGCAAGAAGCAGAACTCTAGTAATATTACTTCTTATGAATCAAGGTATATTCTATCATTGTTTAGAATGCACCCCACTTTCAAGAATGATCCAATTTGGTCATTTCTGGGATGAAAAAGAGGAAAGGGAAGCCACTATGTCCAACATAAGAGTTAAAAGACTGGTATGTGCTTGGCCTTTGATCAGTCCGCCCTTTGCCAATAGCGAAGGACAACTTCAGCAATACACAAAACAAGAACATAAGTAAATATAAAAGAAAAGGTTATTAAGCAAATCAAGTTCATGACTTCCACAGGCCAGCCACAATTTGCTGAATTGTCGATTCCACACTCAATGGTGTTTGATCATTTTAAGAGTTTAAGAGTTGTTTGTCTACCTTTTTATTTTCCCAAGAAAACTTTCAGAACTATGAATCAGCCTAGATTGTGAATTCAAAATTCAAAGTGTAGCTTGGTTCCACAACCTTCTAACTCAGAGGCAAGAGTGATACAACTAAATCAGTTTCACCATCTATACAATTCAGCTTGCCATTGTGAACACCGTCTGGCAAACTTCCTACTGCTTGGCCAGCTGGACCACTCTCTACCCATTAAGGTTTTGATTTGCAGGTTAACAGGAGCCAATTGGGAGAATCCATCTTAGTGACTTGTCTACTCCGCTCAGTCCTGCCAAAGAGCCAGTCTGGAGCTCCAGCCTCCCACAAAACAGCAACAACAACTTGCATTTATATAGAACCCCTCATGCAGGGTAGAGTCCCTTGATGTACTTAATAATGATAATCTTTGCATTTGATAAAGCGCTTTTCACGTCTTCTAGACGTCACAAAGTGCTTCACAGAATAGACTGTAAAGTGAATTGACTGTATATTTGTGGGCGAAATGCGGCAGCAAATTGCGCACAGCAACGTCCCATAAACAGTCGTGGATTGAAATGACCAATTTTTTTTCTTCTTGAGGGATTATTATCAGGCGTGTGAAGTAAGGAAAGTTGCTCAAGGTTTCACCCTGCTAGGAATTGAACCCATGTCTCTCACTTGCAAAGCGAGCGCTCTAACCACTGAACTACAGGACTCCACTTGAATAGTCAAGGAGAATAGTCCCTTTATTTCTTTATACAGATCGTTAAAACCTAATTGACTGAAAGAATACAAAGAAATCTTATTTATATACCTTTACTCCACATTACATTCAGCAAATTTGATGTTTTGTCTACAGGAAAGTTTACGGCTCATTTTTAAAGCAGTTTCAAGGTAGCTCCTTAGATAAGTATGCTAGGCTGTTATTTTGAGAAATAACATGTAACATACAAAAGTCTGAAAAATTTGAAGAAAAAAATAAATCAAGGGAAAAACAGTGCCTCTTTTTTGTTCTCATTTAGAAATGAACAAAGTAATTTTTGACAACAGAAAATCAGTATATAATCTTGGTTAAATTGAATTAAAATTGTGATTTAAAATCAGAGATCGCTGGGAACACTCAGCAGGCCAGGCAGCATCTATGGAGAAAGGAAAGTGGGTCAACATTTCGGGTCCATGACCTTTCGTCAGAACTGGGGGGAGGGAGAGATTTTAAGGACTAACAGAAGGGAGGCAGCGCAAGAAAGACAAAGGAGAAAATGGGGTGGAGGACAGGGGATGATGGGTTAAAGAGGTATTAATGATGCGTTTTAAAGTTCTGATTTATTTTTATCACTTCTTCATCTTAAAAAAGACTCAAGGTTTCAATATTATTTAGAACCTGGTTAAATTGTCATAGATTGTGTTCAAAAAGGCTTTGTACACTGATTCATTGTCGATATTGTGCGGGTAAGTGAGACACACTTTAGTTACTTATTTCAGTAATGCATGCGTGCATACTGAAATCCCAGCCGATTACCAGATCACCAGATTGCTCGTGACGTCACTTCCTGCTCGTTGTAAGTGAGCAGACAGGGTTGATGTGGGAAATTAAAACAGAATTTCTCAAAATTACAGTGTCAATCATGTTACCTTCTGGAAGTTCAACAGTTGCGAATACTCCATCATCTCCTTGCATTAAAACTTCATTGAACACGTTCACTATGATAGCCGGTCTCTGAAGTTTATCATCCAAACCCCTCATATAATTAAACCTGATGAAATTAAGTAAAATTCTTAATTGAATTCCACTGGATATAACTTGAAATGTGTAAAGTATATTATATACTGTTCCTTAAAGGAAGTTATAAATTTAGTATATCTTAAGATTCACAAATTCCATTTCTGTATAAAAATATGAATTCAAAATTACTTACAAATATACATCAAGACCTTCCTCTTTTACTGTGCTTTCGGCCATCTCCCCGCCACCCCACCCGGCTCAGATGCAAACCTTGGACTTTCCACCAACTTGGGATGTCCTCCGGACATAAAGGGCACTATATATATATGTCAATTTGTATTGTTGTATTGTAATTAAGGAATTGAGTAAAGTAAATTATTTTTTTAAAAAATGGCAATACACTGGAAGCCCGTTATACAATGGGAGTTGGGAACAATAAAATCCCAACCAGCGTTATAAACTGGAGCCACGTTCCATTTAACGCTTCCACATTAATTTTGCATGTGCACAAAAAGCCAACCTGCTTCCAGTGATAGGTTTGGCACAAGAAGCGATATCGGTGCATTTGATAACTTTAAAATCAGCCATTTTAGCATGCAAAAAGCCAACCAAAGTTTTAAAGCAAGAAAAGGCAATTTCAAACAGTCCGGACAGCTCTCTACTCAAATTTTGGATTTTGGGAGTAAATATCAGGATGCAAGCTCACATTATAACAAACACAAATAGCACTTCTCTAGTCAGGGGTGGTCACGGTGTGTATTGAGAGCCAAGAAAAAGGGGTAGTAAAACATTTCTTAGATAAAGAGGAACCTTCCCCCCTCAAATACACCTATGAAAGATTTGCCCATTTTTGAGAACCAGGGTTCCTTCCGTATATTTTGTTGGTCTAATTTAAAATATAAAAGTATTAAATTTAGAGTGAATTTTTATTTCATTCTGAAGAGCTATTTCAACTAAAAATTATTGAATATTATCTTTCAAGTGTTTCTGATAATGAGAAGTGAATTTATTCGGAAGAGAACACAAGAGAAAAATAAATCATTAAATGTTAAAAAGAGGCCAGTTTAAACATTTATTAGAAACTTACCATTGAGCTTGCCAGACCATAAACTTAAATGTTGGATAGAGGAACCAGCCCATTTCTGACAGCTTTCCTTCCAGATCAATGCCGAAGAAAAAAGTAGATGAAGGTGTATTTTGTAAGACCACATTCACTTGTTTATCATCTCTGTTTGTTAAAAAAGATTAAAAAAAACATAAAGTTACTAGGAGAGTAGTTCCAAGAATTTTAAATATTTAATCAGAATATAAGAACTTAAAGTGGTGGAGTTCCATAGCGTAGTGGTTAGCGCACTCGCCTCGCATTAGTGCTTTAAATTCAAGTCAACTCAAGTGGCATTGCCTAAGGCAGCATGGTCCAACAGGCGGCCCATGGGCAGAAGCCGGCTCGCTGGATGATTTTATCCAGCCCACAAACCATTTCCGACTTCATTGCTTTACCTCCCAGCTGCACCTCTCTTCTGGTCGGTCTCTATATGATAGTGCAGAGAGTGACTGGAAGAGAGACGGAGCAGAGCGGGAGGTATCTTCCCGCCCCATTACTTTTTGCACTACCTCATGTAACCTGGTGAGAAGCAGCGAGCAGAAGCAGGAGTATTTTGCAAATCTGAAACTACAGCGCTACGAGTTTCAGGAGGAAACGCAAAGTAGATACGGAAAATAGCGGATTTCAGTGTAAGTGAGAAGTGCATTACTTGCTTATTGAAAGTAATGGAAAACCTCAGTGTCTTGTTCTATGTTGAAGGTGTTTACAGTTAGTTATGCAATTATGGATTAATCTGTTTTGGTTTTCTTGAGCATTCTCTGTAGGGATCTGCATATGCTGAATTGATATCTTATATTTTGAGTTTAATAATATTAAACAATTTGATGCATATATTTCCATTTGAGATGATCATCATTAAGTAATATAGTTATCACAATTTAAAACATAGGATTTCTGTATGATTCTTTTATGTTTCTGAAAGGGAAAAGCAAAAATACTGCTTCTGTCACCCGCAGCTTCTTCTCAAATGTGGCATCCAGCCCTTGACACCCAAAAGGTTGGACCACCCTGGCCTAAGGCACTGATACATCCTCAGATAGTTTAACCACATGGAGATGCACTGACTTCTTCTCTTCCCCACAAGAAGTTGTCCAGCTCTACCAACCAGGTTACCAGGGAATGGATTGAAGAGCATCAACCTGCTCCAGCAACCATTTATATGATATTTGTGACTATATTGGATCAGAGTAAATCCAACCCATTCGTGAAGATGGTAAGAAAAAAATACAAAACCTTACCTTACTGCAGCGATCACATCCTTCTCAAAATGCACCATTGAAGCTGGAATATTTATAATACTGCTGCATTCCTCCTCCTCACAGTTCATATCCTGTAATGGTTGACCCAGGCCTACATAAACTAAGACTCCTGCTGCACCAGATAATGCCATATTTTGGACCTGCAAAAACAGAGAACATTTCTCAAATATGTTTTCTGTAGATATATTGTTTTTAAATTGCAATACAGCAAAAACTATTCAGTCAAATACACCTACCAAAAATTCTATTATCCTTAAGAATATTCACCATCTTCAACTCTGTAGCGAAGTGTAACTTGGCAAATTCCTCTATAAGATTATGCCAGGTGCAGCATTACAAATGATGAGTTTATTGTAATCGCAAGCACGGTCAAAGAGCATGGTCTTGAGATGGGTCTTGAAGGACGCAAGGGAGGGTGTGAGGCGGAAGGACTGTGGGATGGAGTTGCAGAGGGTGGCAGAAGGCCCTCCCATCAATAGTGGGGCGAGCGAGGCGGGGGATGTGAAGCAGGCTGGAGCCCACTGAGCGGAGGGAGCGAGCAGGATGGTAGGGGGTTAGGAGGTCGCAGAGGTAGGGGGAAGCAAGGTCATGGAGGGCTTTGAAGTTGAACTGTATCCTCTCTGTGATGGGAAGCCAGTGGAATCGGGCGAGAATGGGGGGTGATATGGGGTTAACTTCCACATGTATGCGGATGACACCCAACTCTACCTTTCCTCCTCTACCCTCAACTCCACGACCACCGATGTCCTGACAGCCTACCTGTCCGACATCGAGTCCTGGACGAGAGATAACTTTCTCCAGCTCAACGTACGCAAAACTGAGGCCCTCCTGATTGGCTCACGTCAGCGCCTCCGCACCTCAGGCGCTGACACCATCAGCATCCAAGGCTGCACTCTCCATCTCTCAAAGCCAGTCAGGAACCTCGGGGTTCTGTTCGACCCTGAGCTGTCCTTTCTTCCTCATATCTGCGCCACAACTGGCACCGCCTTCCATCACCTCTGGAATATCGCCAGACTACGGCACTACCTCACCCCTCACGCTGCTGAAACACCGGTCCAAGCCTTTATCACCTCAAGGCTGGACTATGGGAACCCTCTCCTCGCCGGCCTTCCCGGCACCTCCCTCCACAAACTGCAGGTCATTCAGAACTCTGCAGCTCGTGTACTGTCCCGCACCAGGCTTCGCGACCACATCACTCCCACCCTCGCTCCCCTCCACTGGCTCCCCATCCCCCAGAGGATCGATTTCAAGATCCTCATCCTCACCTACAAGGCCATTCACGGCCTTGCTCTCTCCTAACTCTCCGACCTACTATCCCCCTACCTACCTGCCCGTACCCTCCGTTCCTCTGGCTCCGGTCTGCTCCACATCCCCCGCCCAACCGCCCTACTATCGGTGGCCGGGCCTTCAGCCTCTCAGCCCCGAGGCTCTGGAACTCTATCCCCCAGTGCCTTCGCCGCCTCCTCCCTTTCCTCCTTCAAGGCCGGTCTCAAGACCTTTCTCTTTGACCATGCCTTCAGCTCCCCTCTCGACTCTCTACCCCCTCCTCGCTCCCTCCCTTCCCTCCCCTCACCCTGACCATTTCCCCCCTGCTCGGGTCCTGACCCAACTGTACAGCGCCTTGGGACGTCCTCCCGACGTGAAAGGCGCTCAATAAATGGAATCTTGTTGTTGTTGTATCCAGCAATTGTATATTTTTTATTTTGCGTAACATAAATCCCGGATACACCTTTCAATTCAACTCAATTATCTCAGTAACATATCCTACCTTTTAGATAGACACTATTATTAAATTTAATCAAAATAAAAAATAGAATATTCTGACCACAGTAAAACTCACATAAGTCAGTTGTGACCATAACATTTAATCTGTCTTGCGTGACATCCAAGTTGCTGGCAAACTGCACAAGTTGTAGAAAACCCAATTTAATGAGCAATCATATGCAGTGACGGGGTAAGACTATGTTTCCTGCAATTCAATGCGTCTTCCCCTGTCACCGCACTTACTGGCAAACGTTGGAATCGCGGGAAATGAAGTTCTCCTGCGCATAAGTCAATAATAATAATCCTTGCATTTGATATAGCGCTTTTCATGTCTTATAGACGTCTCAAAGCGCTTCACAGAACAGACTGTAAAGTGAATTGACCGTATATTTGTGGGCGAAACACGGCAGCCAATTGCGCACAGCAGTGTCCCACAAACAGTCGTGGATTGAAAATGACCAATTTATTATTTTGTTTTGGAGGGATTATTTTCAGATGTGTGGAGTAAGAAAATTTGCCCAAAGTTTTGCCCTTGGAATTGAACCCAGTCTCTTGCTTGCAAGGCAAGTGCTCTAATCACTGAGCTACAGGACTCCAGTTCAATGGATGAACACTACATTTCCCGTGATTGAATGCAGCCTGGTAAGTGCGCATGCATCGCCGGGTAAGGATGACATTTCCCACGTTTCACGTTTTATGAATCGTGTTAAGAAATCCATGTGGTTTTGGTAGGAAACTGAATGGGACTCGGGTGAATATACAACTTAGGTATTTATACGATTTATAAAGACAAGACTTAAGCAAGTTTACATTAAAACCTGATACTCGCTTAAAGGAAAAACAATTATGTTTTGCTGTTATTTCATTCTAAAATATGTTCTATTTCAATCTTTTGCCTGCACATTTGCAGTACCTCATCTGACTTTTGGTCTTCAGTAGAAAGCTTTATGAATGGCAAACTTGGAAAGATGTTAGAACCATAGAAATTTAAAACACAGAAGGCCATTCAGCCCACTGTGTCTGTGCTGGGTCTTTTATAGAGCCAACCTTTCAAGTCCCATTTACCTGCCCTTTCCCCCATATCCCTAGTTTACTCCTTTTTAACATATCTAAATATTTCCCCTTTGAAAGCTAATATTGATTTGGCCTCAACCGCCACTCCAGGCAGGGCATTGCATATCCTAGCTACTTGTGTGAAATAAATTCTCCAAATCTACCCGTTTGCTAGCTATATTGAATTGATGCACTTTAATCATTGACCAGTGGAAATCATTTCTTCCTCTATCAAAACTCCTCATAATTTTAAAGACCTCTATCAGGTTACCCCTCAACATTCTTTGTTCCAACAGAAAAAGTCCTAGTTTCTCGAGTCTGTGCTCATATGCAGAGTGCTCTGTTAGCATTACATTTTCATATTTATCATAGCTGTTGATGTTGTTTAACACCATTAACTAATATCCAAAGGAGATCTGGTATTAAAATGATTGAGGCTTTATCAGGAGAAAGAATTTTCAGGATTACCTTAGCAAAATGTGAACAATTCCCTTCATCAGAGACCAAGGCTGCAGCATCTTTAACATGAGAGGAAATACTGCAGCCATCTCCACCATTCTTGATAAGGTAAGGTTCTGATTTCCAGGATTGCATCAGCCAATCGTATCTGGCATCCAATCGCTTGGCAATAACTATCATTTCCCATTCTGTAACAAATAGATTAGAATTTACTGAGACAATATTAACTCAGTGATCACTCATATCAGCAGCATTCATAAGGACACAGCCAATGAACAATCAGTTAATTTCTTTATTACATTTCACAAAATATAAAATCAATTCACTTTACAGTATATTCTGTGAAGCGCTTTGAAACGTCTCAAACGTGATAAGACACTATATCAAACGCAAGGATTATTATTACATTTTTTCCCCATTTTTTGGTTGGGGGAGGCACAATAAACATTTGTGGTTTATTTTTAACTTTACAAACTGTTGTATTTGGTAATGAATATTATTTTGGCTATCAAATACAATATATAGACAATTGGTGGATTGCTTTCTGAGGGTAATAATCCCTCCCCCCAAAGTATAATAATTTTGTCACTCAATCCACGACTGTTTTTGGGACACCGCTGTGCGCAATTGGCTGCCGCGTTTCTCCACAAAACACATATTCAATGCACTTTATAGTATATTCTGTGAAGCGCTTTGAGACGTCGCAACGACGTGATATGGCGTTATATCAAATGCAAGGATTATTATCATCAAATGCATTATTACCTACATTATTCAATAATACTAAAAAAATGCAAATTCCATTACATATTTGCGGCATTTGACGGTTTACAGTCATCAACTACGCTTGGGACACTGTTCTGTGAAAACGCACTGAGAAGGCACAAAGGACACTCTAGTAATTCACGGCTCTCTTAAGGGACAGCAAGGTCCCAATGCAGGGTAAGGTTTTTGTGTATTATAACTGTATCTCTTTCAACGTCCTGAGCTTCTGAGAATGCACAGAAAGAGCTTTCTCTGGTCTATTTGTGAAATCCACGATAAAGCAGTCAAGTGAATTTGTGGCAAACAGAGGAAGTGGCTGCAGGGAGGAATATTAACCCTCCAAATCACAGCTACGAGTATATATGAGAACATGTGTGGTAGTCATAATTCAGCTTTCCCAAGAAAGGTAGATTTATCAGATCATGTTTTTGAGGAAGACAGCAAAAATTATGTAAACAAATTTGCTTTGTACAAAATCTAGTGTTGTTACATTTGTGACAGGAGTCTTATGTGTGCATTTTACAATTATACTAGCGTGTAAAGGGCATTATATAAATGCAAAGTTTTTGTTGTTGTACCAGCCAGTAGTCTCAATCAGCGTCATAGAAAATAAAGCTCTTTCGATAGCTGGTAGCTTGTAAATGTCTTGGCCAGTAAATATCCATTTCCACATGGCCAATTCCTTCGAAGCTGCCTTAAATACAAGTATCAGAATAAACAGCTTCATAAAACAGAAGATACTCGCAATTATATCATCATAAAGAAACCAGAACTTTATTTGGCAAAACAAATGCATCAATAATTTAGGTGGCACCATCTGCTTCATATCCTTTTTCCCCCGTGATGTCTGCCTTCATGAGTTTACTTCTTGCCCTTCTATTCTAAAAATTCTCTGGAGTACCATAAAGAGACAACATTACTGTTCACTGTTTCAGATACCTCCGGCAAGTCAGTGAATCTAACTTTATTGTTCCTTGTTCATTAATAATTTGTAGTTAAGAATTATATTGCAAATCTGGAAATAATTTCTACGTTTGGCACTCAAACCACCACTACAAAAATTATTGCAGTTTCACAATAGGTTGGCAATCTCAAAATTGCTCTAGGAACATGACTATGGCCACCCCTCTCCCTCCCCAATCTCCCTTACATCGTGTCCAAACCAATCCCTATGAAACACTCAGAGATACTACTCTATGTCAAGGGCGCTATACAAATGCAAGTTGTTTATTCAGAAAAGATTCTATGAAGAGGTACTAAATGGTATTTATGACAGAATAAATAACTGATGCGACATCTCTAAGAAACTAAACATTAATCCCAAGAACTAATAGTATTGCGCATTTCAATTCATTGATTGTACCTGGTGAAGTGAAAATTGCTTGAGAGAATCCACAATTGTGTCCTTTACAAGTCCAAGAATAGAAAAGCTCAGGGATCCAGTTCCCCAGAGCATAGATAGGAACAGGAACAAAGTGAAGTCGAGACAGCAAATCTTTCATTCTGGTGGCATTCTTCACCCTGTAGCGAAAACATTTTGATTCAGCAATTTTAAACTTTAGTCATTCATTTGTCTGCAAAATAAAAATCACTTTTAATGCTAAACAAAAATAATTGAAGATAAAAATATAATTGGCAGGACAGTATCAATGTACAGTACACTGAATTAGACCAGGTCACCAGAGGAGCACTGAGACTGGACAGAAGCATTTACAGTATGAAGATGAAAGTTGAGAAAACAAGAAAATTCCTGCTATTTTCTCACACACAGCTGAAGAGTGGCATTAACAATGGACTGAGCACAGGACATCTTCAGGACATCTACCTATTCTTTTGGTCAGAATAAAATTTTAAAAAATGCTGTGCAATTAATAATAAATAATAATAATCCTTGCATTTGATATAGCGCTTTTCACGTCTTCTCGACATCTCAAAGTGCTTCACAGAATAGACTGTAAAGTGAATTGATTGTATATTTGTGGGTGAAATGTGGCAGCCAATTGCACACAGCAGTGTCCCACAAACAGTCTTGGATTGAAAATAACCAATTTATCATTGTTTTGTCTTGGAGGGATTATTTTTGTATTATTTCTAATAATTATAATGTATTATTTCTAACAATTATAATGTATCTCATTGAATTTTTTAAAATATAATTCTCAAATAGTTTTATACAGCTACAAAGCAACCAATGGTTGCCAAATGCATCCTCCATATGATCAAGCACCCAGTACAATACAATACAAAATTACATTAATATAGCACCTTTCACATCACAAAGGCAAGGCGCTGGACAGTCAGGGATTTGGGCCGGAGCCTGCTGAGAAAAGGGAGTGGACAGGTTGATATGGGGTTTTGGAGGTGAGGACGAGGAGTTTGAACTCTGAGGGAAGGGGAGCAAGTGGAACCGGGTGAGGTCATGAGCTGCAGAATTCTGGATGATCTGCAGCTTGTGGAAGCAAGAGTTGGCAAGGCCGACAAGCAGGGAGTTGGCATAGTCAAGCCTAGATGCAATAAACATGTAAATGAGGGTTTTGGCGGCCTGAGGGATGAGGCAGTGGCGGAGCCGGACAATGTTGCGGAGGTGGGGGAAGGCGGAGCAGGGCATGGCACAGATGTGGGAGTTATAATTCTAACAAATCTTTACAATTCAAAGGATATTCAAAACTCATTTGACTCGGTCAAATTTCAAGAGAATCTTTTGCAATAATTATTGTGATATTCATTAGGTTAACACTACTATGTTTCATAGCATATAGATGTGTGCAATCCAATTAATGCAACATTTTCTTTTACTCCATATTTTACGTTTAACCTTAGATTAGTAGCCATTCCTGGTGAATATGAATGAAAACATTCAGGTCTTAAATGAGGCCTATTCATACAGTAACTCTTCCAGCTTAAATTCTATGGGAGAACATTATCATATGTTAGTGTCCCACAAACCGTCTTGGATTGAGTGACTAAATTATTTATTTATTTATTGGAAAGGTTTATTACCCCCGGAAAAGCGTTCCGCCAATCAACAAAGAACCGGTTTCCCACTTACTGCTTGGTAAACAGAGGCGTTTGGAGCAAGGAAATTTGCCCAACATTTCAGGCCCAATGAGGATTTCCCGGGAATCGAACCCAGGTCCCCTCGAGAAGAGTGCTCTAACCCCTAAGCTACAGGACTCCACAAGTTATGTCTTCAAAGTCCCGATGTGGAGCTTCAAACCACAACCTTCTGACTCAGAGGCAAGAGTGCTACCACCTGAGCCAGGCTGATACACGATGGCCGACTCGCAAAGCTTGTACCAGCACTCATGCATAGGTGGAAGAGAGACTTGTTTTGACACACCATTTTATCTACTGCTTAACAGAGAGGTTTAACAACAATTAAATTGTAGACTTGATGCATATAACAGACCTAGCTATAAAGACAGCTCACGCTAATCTTGGCAAACAAAGTGATACAATGATGATAATTGAATCATATTGCTGAACTGTATTAACAATCCTAAAAAACACCCTAGACACAAATCTTTGTTGCCTCCTACATATGGCTTTTGACCATGTAATTTCATCTACACTGAGGATAAGAAAATGAAACAGCACTGAGGTTAACAAGGCTAAAGCTATTTTACCCGGTAATATTATTGATTTTCCTCCCACCAAGAACACGTTGCTCTCGAGCTTGACCTACAAGCAGCAGTTTCAGGGATAGCAATGCAAGGCAAGGATTGCTGATTTTCACAACGACACAGAAACAGCTACTTGTGTGGGTGTATAGCCTTCATACAGAACAGCATCTCAAGAGCGTGGAAGGATTGGACGCCAAGCAAAGGAGATAGAGGAGGGTACCATGAGCACAGTCAAAGAGATAAGTCTTAAGGTCGGATTTAAACATATAGAGGGGGCATAACAGAGGGATTGAGGCAGGGAGTTCCAGCAGCTCGGGACATATGCCTTCAGTAGAATCCTGCAATGTATTGGTTAGAGCATTTGCCTTGCAATCAAGAGGACCTTGGTGCGATTCCCAGTCAGGGCAAAACCTTAGGCAAGTTTCCTTACTCCACATGCCTCTGTTTACCTTCCAGTACGTAGGGACCTGGTTAATAGTCGATTGGCCTCAATAACCCCTCAAAAATAAAATATATAAATCAAAATAATAATAATTTGGTCAATCTACAACTGTTTGTGGGACACTGATGTGCGAAATTCGCTGCCGCATTTCACTCATAAAACACAGTCAAATCACTTTACAGTATATTCTGTGAAACACTTTGAGATGTCTCGAAGACGTGATAAGGCACTATTCAAATGCAAGGATTATATTATAACTATGTCCCTAGCCTCTGTAACACCCTTGTGGCGAGGACCGATTGAGGGACACGAGAACTTGGTCACGAGGCTCAGGACGGGCTTGCCTGCCGGAGAGGTGATCTATTCACCTGACTTGCTCAAGTGGTCGTGAGGATAGGTCTCAGGTCCGCATTGTCCTTTGACAATTTGGGCCTAAAAGAGTTTGGGGCTTGTCTGCGGAGACAAACTTTCCTAAATGGAACATATTTGGTCTAATTCGGTTAATGGGGGTGAGCAGGCCTAACCTTGCTCACCAATAAAAAAAATGGCCTGTGTTAGCTGAGCGGGTAAGCAAAGCAAGTGATGTACGAGCAAGTTAGAGAGGTGGGGAGGTGCTAGAGCGTGATCGATGTGTATATGATCGATCCTTTCAAGATCCTCTCAGAGATAGAGAGCCAGTAGAGCCTGATGAGAATTGGGTGATGGGTGTGCAGAGTTCAGTATGGAGGAGCATGCGGGCAGCAGAGTTTTGTATGAGCTGGACCTTGGTGGATGGCAGAACTGGTTAGACCAGTGAGGTACCTGCTAACCCATTCTAACAAACATAACCATAGAAATTTTAAGCACAGAAAGAGGCAATTTAAAAGTCCAAAGTGATATATAGCAGACAAACAAACATATATAAACTCTTTGAGCTCTCTCTCTCCCCCAACACACACACACAAAGTATTAGAAGGGGATTCCCAAAATGAAGGTTTACATTATAGATTTTATATTAATCCTGTGAAACACTTTCAGATATCCTCCTCACGTGAAAGGTGCTACATCAAATGCAAAGATTATTTATTATTAATTTGAAAAGTCATCCCACACCATTTCTTAAATGAATCCAGCATTTGGACCTCTTCCTGATTATGCATTTCATAGAAACAATTTTTTTTCCTTTAGAAGACAGAATTTTTCAGCACAAAAGGAGGTCATTCGGCACTTTAGGTTTAACACCACTACTGTTATCTATTTTCTGCATTACTCTTTTTTATTTATTCCAATTTTCAACTCTTTCCCTATACTCTTCGCACTTTTACAACAAGTATTCAACAATTTCCTTTTAGAATAATATTCATGCAGACACAATAGTTCAGCTGGAGAGAAATGTACCTAGGTTCAGCCTAACCAGAGCACTGTATACCTTGAGCACGAGTTCTCCACTTAACTGACCCTGTCTATCTTGTTTATTCCTGCCACACAGTTTCAACACAATGAACAATGAGATAACTAACACCTCCGGGACTCTTTCAATTTCCCCCTAGCACGTTGCACCATGTCCATGGAGTACATTATTTTGCACAGTCAGCAGCTTTAAGTGCTGCAGAGCCACAAGTATTTGAAATTGCTTTGTAATATTCTTGCAATAAAACCTGTTCCATCAGGCCACTAGGTACACCTTGAAATTGTGAATTCTGACTCCCACTTCCTGTAGTAATAATGTGCATGTCACTTTAAACATAAGTTCTGTGGATTGAGGTCCTTTCCCATAAAAAATCAGTATCATTAAGTCAGTAAATTCCACTATAAAATGAAAAGCTAAAAAGTCATTCTTCAAGGCATTTTCTTCACGGATTCTTTACATTTGCCACACTCTGCCTAATAAAGATCGACACATTTCCTACCATTGGAATAGTGCACAAATATTAAATCTAAAACTAATCTCATGGGCTCATGTCCCAGTCTGTGATGAATTTGCTGATCTTAGTTTTATCAGCAATTAGGGTGTTGCAATTGGCCTCCGTGCCTCTGGGTCAGAGGTGGGAGGGTACAAGAAAACATCTAAAATTCATGCTCCACAGGCACAAAATTCCTTCTAGGCTTAACCTGTAAAGTTAAGATCCTACAGAATTGTGAAAACTTCTTCCAATTCAGTCTCAATTTGAAAGGTATGGGAACTGTGCCTGTGGACAAAGAAAGGTTGACGATGTCTTTTAGCGGGGGAGTGTTGCTGGTTAGCAAGAGGAAAAATGGTTCTTTTTAAGAAATGTGGAAAAACGGCTTTCAAATCAAATTCAGAATTTTCTATAATTCTACATCACCTTAAATATTTTTTTATAATGGTCTTACAAACAAAATCCATGTGCCTTTCAAGCATCTCATCATGCATGCATTCATATGGAGGTTGACCTTTGCTGTGATCCACTTGTCCTCTGGTCCAGTGAACTACTTCACATTTACCATCAAGACTCCTTCATAGATGATAATGACCACTTGTGCAAAACTCAGAGGGCAATTAGCTGCCATAGTACCATATGTCAGTAGAAGGAAAAAAATCAAAATTTCTTCAGAAGAGCCAGAAGAGAAAGAGACAACAACAACAAAATTACATTTGTATACCGCCTTTCACATCGGGACGACATCCCAAGGCAATGGACAGTCAGTGTTTCAGACCCAAGCTGGGAGTCCGGATTAGGGAGGGTGGAGGGCGGGAGGGGGGGGAAGCAGGGTGATTGAAAGCACGGTCAGAGGCAGGTCTTGAGATGGGTCTTGAAGGAGGCAAGGGAGGGGGACTACGGGGAGTGGAGTTCCACCCCACAGATGTTGGGGCAGAATGGCAGAAGACCCACCTGCCAATGGTCGCAGAGGTTGGGGGGGGGGGGGGGGAGCAAGGCCATGGATTATTTTGAAGATGAGGACCAGGATCTTGATCTGCATTCTCTGTTGAGGGGAAGCCAGTGGAGTCAGGCGAGTATCGGGGTGATACGGACACGGAGTCTTGTGTGGGAGAGGACACGGGCTGCAGAGTTCTGGATGATCTGCACCCTATGGAGGGAGAAGTTGGGGAGGCCGACAAGCAAGGAGTTTGCATAGTCAAGCCTCGATGTTATGAATGCGTGTATGAGGGTTTCAGCAGCCTTCGGTGAGAGATAGTGGCGCAGCTGGGCGATGTTTCGGAAGTGGGGGAGAGAGAAAATTGAAGCAAACAGCAGAGGGAAGAAAAGCATGTTTAAAGAAGAAGAAATTTATTGACTTGGTTATTTCATTCAGGAGCCACTATTAATAATGACTAATTTTATCTGTGAGATTGTTGGCCAGGATACCTGGAGAAATTTCCTTCTCTTTTCAAAAAGTGTCATGGGATCATTAAGATCCATTTAAACGGGAAGACAGGACCTGGGTTTAACATCTCATCTAAAGAACAGTCCAGCAGTTGCCCAACATTCACTGAAGCATCAGTCTAGACCCAGCTCACAGTCCCGACTTGGGGCCTGAAGCCAGAATCTTCTGACTCAGAGGCAAGAATGCTGCCAAATGAGCCCAGGCTGACACACGGTAGCATGTCACTTACAAGAAATTGCTGCTTTGCTGCACATCTACTTAATAATAAAATCATGCTTACAATTTGGAGATTTTCTTGAATGGATATGCATATAATAATCCTTACATTCCATGTATCCGGCTTGACTATGCTGACTGCCTGCTCGCTGGTGTTGAAATAAACCAACTATCACCTCAGAGTGCCTTGGTATATTTCAAACAGCAACCGAATGTTCCAGAAGGTTTGATAGTTAAATGGTTAAAGGTAGCTTTGCTGGACGGGCTGAGGTTAGCATCTGATTACATTTCATATTTTTCTGGGAAGATGTTCACTCCTCTGAGATAATGAGCAAAGGGGTCCTTGAGCACAGATGTAAGATCAATGGACCACAGAAAGAAAAGGCTGCAGCCTCAGACACCTGCCTATCTCAAGGCTGAGAAGTACGTTGTCCATATCTCTCTGTGCAAAGCAGCCTGCGAAGGGTGGGGGCTATCTCTGTGACAAGCAGAGGTAGAGTTAGAAACACCTAAAAGATGTAACTTTGAAATAGTTGGAGTTGTGTAGAGGGTCAGTGTACATCCCATTCTGTATCCATGTATACGTACAGGGGTGTGGGAATTTACCTCCAGTAAGAAAGTGACTATTAAAAGTGAAAGAGGAAGAGTAGTGGGTAATATGTTTTCGGTTCTGTCTGCTAGGCATAGAAGTAATAACAGTAGTAGTGGTTGGTCCATTTGAAATGCAGTAGTCAGGTTAGGCAGCATGAGTGAGGTGCTGGACTAAGAGCTGATCGTTTCTGTTGAGTTACAGGAGCCACTCCTTGATTCTGTGTGATAGTTCTGTGATTAAGTATTGTTTTTAGATTGGTTGTATATCCGTGTCGTTGTATGTTGCAGCCTATTGTGTTGTTATATGGTCATATGGTTTACATTTACATTGCTGAACTTTACTGTTTGTCATATATATATAGCTGATATTAGTGGAAATAAACACTATACTCTTACGGTCAACTGTCGAATTATTAACACTGGATTTCCCAACTCTTCCTTCCACAAGCTGCAGATTATTCAGAACTCTGCAGCTTGTGTCCTCTCAGGCTCCACGATCCAATCACCCCCGTTCTCACCCGTCTTCACTGGCTCTCCATCCCATGGAGAACAGAGGACAAAACCCTCATTCTCACTTTCAAAGCCCTCCACGGTCTTACTGCCCCCTACCTCTCCCAACTCATAACCCCATATCAGCCGATCTGCTCCCTCCACTCGGTGGACACCAGCCTGCTTCAGGTTCCCCACACTTCCCGCCCCACCATTGGCTGTCAGGCATTCAGCATCTCTGCTCCCACACTCTGGAACTCTATCCTGCAATCCCTCCGTCTCAATCCCTCTCTTGCCTCCTTCAAGTCCCATCTAAAGATCTTCCTCTTCGACCACGCCTCCTGCCACCTTCCCTCCATCCCTCCTGACCCAAACCCCTAGCTTAGATCTAAAAGGTTCTGACTGTCCAGAGCCCTGTGACATCTTTCCAACTTGAAGGGTGCTATACAACTGTAAATTGTTGTTCTTGTATGCAGCAATGGATTTTTTTTTAAACCTACAGCAGGGGGTGAAGTTTATTCATTCAGTGATCTGAGTTGAGTTTTTTGTTTGTTGAGTATCTGACACATGCAGAAACCCATTACCACGCTTAAAGGTATCCAAATCAGCCTGAGAGTACCACATATGTACGCCACCTATCCAGGAATGGAAAGTGTACTCTCTCTCCCTGTACAGATGCATCCTGCTTGCCTAATTCTGGTGAGCATCAGGAGCAGCTGGCACGAGCCACGTCTTGCAGACCACAGTGTGTGTTGGGTGTCCTGCTGCAGTTTAACCGGCTAAAACTGCATAATCTGCCATTGAGCACAATCTCACAAGCTTTCCACTGCTTGTCCAGCTAACGGGAGTAGAGTGAGAAGAGTCCGGTCTCCGGTGACCGGTCTGCCCTTCCAGGTCCTGCCAATGAGCCAGTGCGGCTGTGCTGCCATCAGCAGTGCCCTGGAATACTGCGGACTCGCCCGGTTCAGATACCGGACCGACCACGGAGACCGCCACAGAGGAGTGCCTCGACTCCGACATTCTGCTGTCACGCAAGTCAACTTGGAGGCCAGCGCAGCTTTCAGGCTTTGCCACATTTACCTCCAGAATACACCGTCACCACACATTCCTGTCAACCCTCTGAAGAGCTTGAGAATCCTCGGACTGAAAAGGTCCTATAACACATGGCAGGCGGCCGATTATTGTCAGATGTCACTCTGAAGAATGAGATCAAACTCACTCTCCACCACATAACACCTCTGTCTCTCTCCCTCTGTGTGTGTGTGTGTGTGTACCTACAGGTCTGTACCTTTTTTCCATGGAGCTGACCAGCTGCTGCTTCATCCACCTGACATCATGGGCCGCGCTGTCGTCGAAGGACATGAAGAGCACATGGCTGCTGTCGGGCAGCTCCCCGGCCACCAGGGCGCCCAGCGACTCCGGCGCCGTCCACAGGCACTCGAGGAAGCCCGACTTGTTGGTGAAGGCGTGGAAGAGCAGCGCGGCGGCCTCCCGGAGCGGGTAGGCCAGCGGGCCGTCCAGCGTGTCCAGCTGGAAGGAGGGAGCAGCCTCGCCCGGCTCCGGCCGTTGCCGCCGAAGCCGGGCCGCTCCGGGCGGCGGGGAGCCGTGACCGTGAGCCGTCTGCTCTTTTACCATCCGCAGCACGTCCCCGCTCCGCCCGTAAAACCGCAGCGCGGCCCCGGGCCTGTCCGGCGGGGGGCCCCCGGGCCTGTCCGGCGGGGGGCCCCCGGGCCTGTCCGGCGGGGGGCCCCCGGGCCTGTCCGGCGGGGGGCCCCCGGGCCTGTCCGGCGGGGGGCCCCCGGGCCTGTCCGGCGGGGGGCCCCCGGGCCTGTCCGGCGGGGGGCCCCCGGGCCTGTCCGGCGGGGGCCCCGGGCCTGTCCGGCGGGGGGCCCCGGGCCTGTCCGGCGGGGGCCCCCCGGGCCTGTCCGGCGGGGGGCCCCCGGGCCTGTCCGGCGGGGGGCCCCCGGGCCTGTCCGGCGCGAGCTCACGGCCCGAATTCAAATCCGCCGCGAGCGTTGCTGCCGTTGCGGCGCACGCGCCGACCAGCAGGAGCCAGGCGGCGCCGAGCGGGAAGCCGAGCGCTCCTCCCCGAGGGCCCGAGCCCGAGCCCGGCCTCCCCAGCCTCATCTCCTCTCCCCCGTGCCCTTCCCGGCGGGACCCGGCCGGACACCTCCCGCCGCGCCGGAGGGCACCCGATACAAAGAATTGTTCGTTCGTGTCGTTTCAAAAAAAAAACCGAACGCGCGCAGCAGCACAATGGCCGACGTGAAACTGAGCAACAATCAAACCGCCAAAAATGGCTTTCCCTCCTCCGCGCCGCCGCCCCCGTCCGTCCCCACTCGCCGCCGCCGCCGCCGCTCTCACTTCTGCTTCCGCCCTCCCACAGCGATCAACAACCATAAGCGGCTCGAGGTCAATGCCTCTGATCAGATAACGGCCTCGTTGTAACAGCTTTTGCTTTTTATTTTTGTCCGCGGGTGTCTGACACACGTGGAAGCCCATCGCTCAGCTTAAAGAGTATCCGACAGCAACAACGACAACATTACATTTGTGTGGCACTTTTCGCGTCGTCGGGAGGACGTCCCAAAGGCCTGGACGGTGCACAGCATTTCAGACCCCAACTGGGGTCAGGAGGGGGGAGGGGAGGGGAAGGGGGGGGGTGGCCGATGGCATAGTCGAAGAGGAGGGTCTTGAGGTGGGACTTGAAGGAGGGGGTGAGGTGGAGTGAGTGGGCGATGGAGTTCCGGAGGTTGGGGGCAGAGTGGCTGAAGGCTCTCCCGCCAATGGTGGGGCGGGTGGGTCGGGGGACACGGAGCAGCCCGGAGCCGGCTGAGCGGAGGGAGCGGGCGGGTTGGTAGGGGGTTAGCAGGTCGCAGGGGTAGGGTGGGGCGAGGCCATGGAGGGCTTTGTAGGTGAGGACCAGGATCTTGAGCTGGATCCTCTGAAGGATAGGGAGCCAATGGAGTCGGGCGAGAGTGGGGGAGATGGGGTCACGGAGTGACCAAACCAGACTCCGGGCCCCCAGATTCTGCGCTGTGGTACTGCTGGAGTCTAACCAGCTAAAACCACACAGCTTGCCATTGATGTTGCTGTCCGGCAAGCTTTCCCGCTGCTTGCCCATCTGGGGCCACCGTTAGGGCTTTGACTTGCAGGGTTAACAGGAGCTGAGAGGGATGACTCCCTGCCCCCAGTGACTGGTCTGCCCTTCCAGGTCCTGCCGATGAGCCAGGCTGGAACACTGTGGACCCGGACCCCTGAGACCATCACAGGGGGCTGGCTCGATTCCGACATGCCATTGCCAGGCATGTCACCTTGGAGCCAGTTCAGCTCCAAGGTGACCCCTCTTACCTCCCCTTCCCCTACAAAATACAATCCAGTGAAGCGCTTTGAGATATCTCATTTCTCTAATCTTTTTCAAGCATTCAGCTAGTAATAATAATTATTATTATGCATTCAGCTCATTTATTAGCATTTTATTATTTTTAAAAGGAGGGGAGACTGCAAAGCAGTCTAAACATCTGGAGACACCTCCAAAGTGAGTTACTGGTATAATAATAAAACAATCCTCTCATTTGATACAGTGTATTTCGTTGGTGAATGTCTCCTAGAGCTTCACAGCATATGCTGTAAAGTGTTGTGATTGTGTATTTTGCAGGTAAATGTAGTCGTCAATTTGCACACAGCAATGTCCCATAACAGCTATGAAGTAAATGACCAATTTTATTTGGAAGACTGTTGGCCAAGATACCAGGAGAAACTCCCTCCTCTTTTCAAATAGTGCCATGTCATTTTTAACACTACCCCCCACCCCCAAACAGGCAGACAGACCTCAAATGACAGTGTCATTTGAAAGACACCTGAAACAAAGAAACACCCCCCTCAGCACTGCATTAGAGAGTTAACCTAAAAGTTTGTATGAGTTCCAAGATCTGATGTGTGTCAGGCTGGCTCATTTGATGGCACTTTTGCTTCTGAATCAGGAGGTTGTAGGTTCAAGCCTACAACATTGTTGGAAACATTTGGCCTGGAGATCTGGCAAACCCTAGCACTGTCCGCCAAGCTCGCCAGCGTCCTGACTGCGCGGCTCCAGGAGGTTACTGCCTCCATTTATTTGCAGGGAATCGAGACGGACAAACGGCGTACAATTATACAGAGTATGGAATTACCCAAAGTAATAGCCCCACCTGAATGATTTCAGAGACTTATGGAACAGACCACAAACTTTCTTGTAACATCTATCACTCTTTCACCACGAGAAGAAATATTAATAGTTGGAGAAAGGAGCAATGCTTTGAAATTCAGTGGCTAAACTTGCACCACAATTTAACTCACCCATTGATATTTTCAACATGTTCAAAGCAAATCCAGATCTAGAAGCTATTTGTACTTCAAAAAAAACACTGAATAAACATTGTTACTATTGGAGTCTCTTAGTAGTGATAGCAATTGGAAGAAATACTGCAGAAGGAATCTCTATCAATGCAACAACCGTACTCTCTAGAGAGACTTAGCTCAACATAATAATAACGTTAGTCATATCAGAGCACTATTTTGGATTTCAGAGGGAAAATTCTTATTGTGCGAAACACGACCAAGTCAAACAGAATAATAGATCTGACATCTTTAGCTTGTGTTAAATGTTTGGACGTTTGTGTTCGGCACGGACAGGTGAAACGGGATGATACATTGCGGTGTATACTTTTGTTCCTTGCAATAAAAAGAAAAACAATGTGTCTGTCTACAGAATCCCAGGTAGGATTTGGCACTTACAGCAATCCAAACTCTGAAAACCGAGCAAGCGGCGTTGGCAATCGCGCATTGAGAATTTGTGGTTGGAATAATATATGCCTCGAGCTGTATGTTTATATATTTTTCTTCTTTTGCACCTGTTCCGTTGTATTCATCATATTCAGCAGTCATAATGTTTCCTACAAATCTAATATCGGGAACGTATTTCCTTCTGGTAAATAAAAATAAAAAAGGCGATTGGATGAGACCATAAGTTCAAAAAGAAAGGTCAACGTCGTGCATATGTTGTATTCATTTTTAAAGACTTATCTCATAAGTGGCCTCGTTACATCAACGTGAGTGTGTCTGAGAAGTGGGAGCATTCCGTTGCCTGGAAATAAGATGGAGTGGATTGATCGTACTCAATTTATAGGATAAAGGAAATGGAAGTCTCTTTTCTAAACTGACTTTGCTTGGTTGGACCCAATCCAATTCCCCTGCATGAATCAACAGTGAGCATTAGCAATAGTTAGATAATCCATTGAGATAGATTACAGCCAGAACTTGTTAAATAAATCCTGATTCCTAATCCTCTTTAAATTGGATTGAGGCAAATTATTGGTTGTGGACCAGTGAGGCTTTCCACCCATTCCATCGAAACTCCTCGCTCATAGTGGGAAAAGGATTGAGAAGAGACGAGTGTTTCAATGACCTGTCGAATTACCTCTCTGCATTGCGAAGGCTTATAAAGTTATGATCAACGTTTTTTTTACGAAAAGCATTTCGAATAAACATTATTTGCTTTTCAAAATATAGCTTTTGCTCACGATATGGTTTGAAATCGTGCATCGGTATGAGTCAGTGGCTGTGATGTTGGCTTGCACACAGGCAGTGGGGGCGGAATCACTGAGATGATCTCTCTCATGTTGTGCATGAGGGCTGTTCCAGGTCAGAGCAGCTGGGGAGGGAGGGGGACACTGCTCTGCTCCAACACCAGGGCGCTCTCTGTTGGGGGGTGGAGGTTGGGGTTGAGTCGTTGCTTGGTTCAACAGTCTGCTCACATGATGTTTGCAAAGACTGGATAGCAACAAACAAACAACACTTGATAGCTAACTCTCATTGTCACCAAGATTCAATGGTATTATTTCAATCCATTATAGTGTTTCAGGGAAGAAGTCAAGTTGCAATGCTGTCTTATATTTATGGTACAAGAAAGAGCGACAGACTGATAACAACCCCAATCTGATAGTTTTTAAGGTGCAGCGATCACCCAGATATGTGTCAAGAGACAGTTGGAAATGGTTACATTGGACACACAGTACTTCATTGGAGATTGCCTCTACAAATTTATGAAACAAATATAAAAACCTAAAATAAATGTGGAGTTAAGATTCGACGTTTCCAAATAACACACTGTGGTGGTTTTTTTTTTACAAAAGGAATAAAGTGGCGTGCCATTCCCATTATTTTTCTTTTTCTGCATACGTTGTATTTTTTGTTCAGATCAGTAAAGTTTGCACTCTTCCTCGGGTCTTGGTAATAACAAATTACAAATTGTGCAGTACACTGCTGCTACATACTGGACCCCAAGCGGGTCTGTCTGTATATTTGCGGTTGGCACGGCTGCTGGAGTACTTTGACTGGAGAGTTGAGGGAAATTCTGGGTTCAGTGTGAACATGTATTTCCATTTATTCCAATTAATTAAATTGCAACACTACCGACCTCCTAACAAGACAACAGCGACTGGAGTACTTAAGCACCTGTTTAGTTTCCTAATCTTCACAGGTGAGAAAATGAATAGTTAAGAACCATCGAGGGATTTAGAAGCGGTGCGTCAGACAGAGCATTGGCTGAAATCTTTTTTCTTCTGATGTTCCTGCTATCACAATTCATCTGCTCCCCGGGTAAAACCATCCTTGCAAATATTTAGTCGCCCTCTGCGCTCAAATGCTATTTAACTATTTTCTCTTCTGCTCCTTTTTATAATCAAATATAATTCGCAAGTATAATGAAAGTGATTCTGAACGCGAAGCGTTTCTTCCACTGAAACCATTTGAACAGAAAATATGCGATGGGGAGTCTGAGGAAGAGCATAAAGTAAATTGAGTTTTAAGAATCGACCATTTTCAAATCCAGCCATTTGTTTAAGTAGTATAATAAATAGAGAATGGGTGTGAAGGGAAAACCCAGCACTGTCAATTGAGAAGTTAATGATGCTTTATCTGACAAATAACTCATACTTCAGATTCATCTAAAATGCAAAGACAGAGGGTGACCGGTATTTTAATAATATGGATTACATGTGTTCAGGCGATAGAAAGATCTCGGTGATTATATTATAATAATAATAATAATCCTTGCATTTGATATAGCGCTTTTCACGTCGGGAGGACGTCCCAAAGCGCTTCACAGAACACACTGTAAAGTGAATTGACTGTATATTTGTGGGTGAACGCGGCAGCCAATTGCGCACAGCAATGTCCCACAAACAGTCGTAGATTGAAAATGACCAATTTATTATTATTTTTGGTTTTGGAGGGATTATTATTAGGCTCTGTGTGGAGTAAGGAAACTTGCCCAAGGTTTCGCCCTCTGCCTGGAATTGAACTCAGGTCTCTCGCTTGCAAAGCGAGTGCTCTAACCACTGAGCTACAGGACTCCACTATTGACAAGATTGACAAGAAAGCTAATAAATATTGACAAGAAAGCTAATAAATAATAACAATCCTTACATTTGATAGAGAATCTTTATATCAGGAGGACTTACTGTGAGCACTGAATACCATGTAATACACAATATAGAATACGTTCAACAAGTTTAAAAAATGTTTCCCTGGGTCATTTTTGGGAGTGTATCATAGCAAATCTAATTTAGTGCAAAATGAATAGTGCACTTCCTAAACCACGCCTGATAACCCAGCACTCAAGAAAATAAAACAATAATAAATTGGTCACTCAATCCACGACTGTTTGTGGGACACCGCTGTGCGCAATTATCTTCCGCGTTTCGCCCACAAATATACAGTCAATTCACTTTACAGTCTATTCTGTGAAGCACTTTGAGACGTCTCGAAGACGTGAAAAGCGCTCCAGCAAATGCAAGGATTATTATCATTAAGGAGCTTCCAACATAAATTCCGATTTGCCCTTCAAGTCTTTCCGATGAGTCACTTATTCTTTCTACCAAAAACAAAACTCCTTCGTGAGGACTGCAATTACTCATTTGTAGTTTTTCTCTCCACCTTGAAAAGTTTGACTTCCCGAGACAATACATCCAATCCAACTCGGTGTAAACGAAATGAAATGTTTTGCGCAGAACATGACGTCGATGTGGACATCCATGTGCCCTGTTAATCCCAATGGGAAACGAGTTAAACAGTCAGACGTTACAGAGGATCTTGACATTTCTGCACTTAATCAAATATCGATCTCCCCCGTTTCCTGGAGGAGAGGGCAGACCGTCACCTTGGGGAATGCGACAGGGTTACTCTGGACCAATACCTGCCCTCCATCCTTGCTCTTTGCGGGGTATAAATTGCACTGAAATCCAAACTGTGCTTTCATTCAGACTTTTGGCTCCCAGGTGAGGTTGCCAGGTGTCCAGCCCGCCTTGCTGCAGGAGAGCCGTGGGGCTGACAGGAGCCAGGACAGCAGACACAGACACACACACACAGACACACACACACAGACAGACACACACAGACAGACAGACAGACAGACAGAGCTCGGAAAGCACGGACCGGGATCGAGGGTTTCCGGAGAGTGCCGAGTCTGGTGCTGAGAGGACAGCGCCCATCACTCCCACCTTCTCCTCTCTCGCCGCTCCCTCCAGCAGCTCCAGCAGCAGCTCCAGCAGCAGCTCCAGCAGCGCCAACCCCGCACCACCAGCCGCTCCGTCTCGCTCTCTGCCACCATCCCCTGCTCACCGCACACCGAACATGAGAAGCCATCGGCTGCTCGCAGTTACCGTCATCCTCATGGTGTTGGCAGAGGTGTTTTGTGAAGAGATGTCTCCCGATGAAGACACGTCCCTCTGGGGGGACCGAAGTCAGGTAATGTTGGAAGTCACAGGTTAAAATCATGAACATTTAAACGTGTGGCTGTGTTACACCGTTATCTTTTAATGTTGCATCTTATTAGAAATAAAGACATTTCCAGCCCACACACACACACACACACACACACACACACTCGCGTCCAAAGCTTTGAGGGTTGTAGAGTATGCACTGTTGTACTTTTTGGTTTAGGGTCACTGAGCAAATGCCTACTGCCATTCGCAAGAACGTGGCAGTGGGAGTAATGCTGTTGTGCTATTTGCAGTGTCCAAAGCGAGATAGGAAGGGAACTATAATCATGAAGATACACTGTAATTTCCAAATAGATTTGATAAGATTGTAACGTGGATGTAGGCTGGGAGCTGCGTGCACTGCTTGGGTGTGGATGGGTGGAAATTGAAGCAATTAAATGCATTCTAATTCATTTATAATGCAAGTGTCCTGTAAGTAAATCTCTGTTACAAGACTAATTGCCGCGACTTCTGTTGTGCCACGAACCAGTACAGTGCCAAGGCACCTCGCTGTCTCTGCAACCCAACACGTGTATTTGTGTGTGGGAGGAAATGCTCTTTCATTACATTCTGCAGCAAATCGCTTCCGATCGTCCATAAGAGGCAATATTGGAAATAAAGCCAGCCGCAGAGGAATTATTAATACTGGGAATGAATTAAATGGCACAACCTACAGGGGGAGGGGGGAGACATCAATGTTTTTTTTTAATGTGTGAATGGGAGAACAACTGGAGAAGTGGCTCCAGGGCATGTTAAAGCGCACCAAACCTGGACAAGGAGTTGTCATGCTGCGTTTGCATCCGCATTCAAAAGTTTTAGAATCACAACCGAAAAGCATTTGCTTGCGTTACTTTTTTTTCCCCCCGAATCGCTGCATACTTCAGCAACATGAAGCCATCAGCCCGAGATATAACGAGATTTAATCACATAACCCTGTGGAACTTGAATGCACTGTGGGGATTTTATTGGCAAGGGTGAGGGGTCCAAGAAAGGAAATATTCTGATACTTTTTTTGATGTACAAGAAAAAAAAAAGCAGGTCGATTTGAGTTTGTTTTGGGAAATCTAGACCGACTCTTTTCATCACAGCAGATTGTCCAGGAATATTCTGAATAGAGTCAAATAGACTCTATTCAACATATACCAAGAATAATGAATGTTTACCTCAAATGAAATGTTAATGAATTAGAAGAAGTGCTTCCAGCTCCCACTTATCCACTGGGTGTGGTTTCCAATCATGTACAGTATATCACATATATATATTATATATATATATTATATATACATATGTCTGTCACCTTCTGGGGCTTGGAAAATGCAACCTGCAGGAGTAGCTGTGCTGTTCCCAAGCCATTTAGAGCTGACAAATGTGCTTTGGTAAAGAAAGAGCACAGACTTGCCTTTATGAAGCGCCCTTCACGGATTGAAGTGCTTGAGTAGTGGTGTTCCTGTTACATCCGCGTATTTACCTGTGTCTCAAGATCAACGTGGAATAAATCTATTCTTAGTCTGGAGTCCCCGATGAAGTCAAACCCTCTGTTGGCAAAACCCTTTCTTGTCAAGTAGCAGAAAATGAGCAAAGTAGTCCTCGGTGCGATTAGACGAAAGCTTAACAAAGATTTAAACAGCTCGACAAAGATTTAAAAAGTTATTATCTTAATATCTCATTTAAGTTCACCCACAGCCAAGAAAACAATGTAGGGGCTGATCTGAACTGAAGTCCCGTTCCACTTTGCAATCGCAATATTCACAATTTAATATCACCCAAATATTAAAACTATCTTTTAAATGCAAATTGCTATAGGGGGGAGGGGAGAGGGGGGGGGGGGGGGGTGGTGCTATCTAGCACTTGAAGCATTGAGCTTAGATGAAGCAATTTTATAAACGATGCCTTTGAAATGAATTGTTCTGATAATAATTCATAAAATGAATTATGAACCCCATTTTTCTGAAAATAATTTGCAAACTAAAGATTGTGCTCGCTGTCAGGTTCTAGCCTTACACTGACTGATCAGCGCCTTGGGACGTCCTCCCAACGTGAAAGGCGCTCTATAAATGGAATCTTGTTGTTGTTGTTGAGATGCGCTGCAATGGAAAGTGCTCTTCAATGTATCTGTTGGGCTTGATTTCAGGAGGATTTGCTGGAGCCGGACTCGGTTCGGGAGTTGCTGAGGCGAATGATCAGGAAACCAAGACCAGAGCAGTTCTTTGGCTTAATGGGGAGACGCTCTGCAGGTGAAGTGTCTCTGGTGCTGGTAGGAGGACCTGTTTCTAATCTAGATTGGTTTTAGGGCACTGTGAAGCCAAGTGATTGGGCAGCACCGACTGTAGTAACAATGTGGAGTCCTGTAGCTCAGTGGTTAGAGCACTCGCTTTGCAAGCGAGAGACCTGAGTTCAATTCCAGGCAGAGGGCGAAACCTTGGGCAAGTTTCCTTACTCCACACAGAGCCTAATAATAATCCCTCCAAAACAAAACAATAATAAATTGGTCATTTTCAATCTACAACTGTTTGTGGGACATTGCTGTGCACAATTGGCTGCCGCGTTCGCCCACAAATACACAGTCAATTCACTTTACAGTGTGTTCTGTGAAGCGCTTTGGGATGTCCTCCCGATGTGAAAAGTGCTATATCAAATGCAAGGATTATAATGATCAATCCTCTCACTTGCTTTGCACTGACTGAAATCAAGCTTGTTGCCGGTTCATCACGAAATGACATTCTGCTCTCACCAGGCTCGACTCCTCACACAGTAAGCTGCGAGGTTTTATCACACTGTAATGCCTTAGCATTATTTGACGATAATTGTGACATTATCCCCTGTTTAGTTCAATGTGCGAATTCTCCATTCATAATTTAAATAACCAGTAATTATTTGGGATTTATTTTCCTTTCACACGATTTAATCTCAGACAGGTTTATCCTGTATGATATAGTTTATCTAAATGAGTGTCCGGCACACAATTGAATACAATTAACAATGGCAGACAAGAAGGCTTTTTACATTGGATGTGCAGATTGAGTCAGTATAGTGAACTCGAGTCCAGCATTACAATAAACCACGATTGCGTATAGTCACCAATGCAGCACGACTTAAAGGACTACAATAAATGTTACAGCTTATTGGTTCAGGTATCAGTATTCGTAACAGAGGGGACACACTATTTCTGATGTTTAAGTGCATTAAGGTATTACAAAACAACTGTAGTAACATTGTGGAACAATGAGCTCCTCTCCATCACACCTGGGCTCCTCTTGTTGTTGTTACAGTGGTTGACGTGAAATGTGGCTATGTGCAACGAATCAAATGGACAGCCACCTTTGCTGCTTGTTCTCTCTGTGTCTGTTGCCAAAGGAACTGGCAATGATGTATTTATTGTGTAGCTCATGTAAGACATTCTATAAACTACACAATAAAACTAAAATGCACTAAATACCAGATAAACTATTATTACAAACTTATCGCCAAAAAATAACATATGTAGACATAGCACCAACACTTTTGGTTCGTCGTCAAAATATACAGTCACTACACTTTACAGCATATTCTGTGAAGAGCTTTGAGACTCTCAACAATGTGATAAGGCACTATATCAAATGCAAGGATTATTATTATTATTTTGTGACGTTTATGCTGAAATTTGATGAGACTGGACTGTTGGACTTCTTCTAGAACCATTTAACATATTTGGAAAAATAGCAACCACTTCTTACAACCTCCTCTTAATTTTCACTCCTTATCTTCTAAATACATGGTGTCAGCCTGGCTCAGCTGGTAGCACTCTATTCTGACAACATTCTCTGGAACGCCATCTGCCTGGCCCTCTCATTCCTCACTTTGAACCCCGCCTTAAGATTTTTTTTGAGTTTTCTCCTTCCTTAGCTTCCCCTCACTCCTGTTCTGTGAAGGGCTTTGGGATGTTCTCTCAGCGTGAATGGCATGGCATAAATATAAATTATTGTTTAGATTCATTAGTAATTCATGCATGATTGTACCTGCAATTTTGTTCAGTACAAAATAACTGTCTCATTTGCCTACAAACACTCATGAAACATGTCAGTTAACACTGAGTGTAAAATGCTTTGAGATGTTTCAAATTTATATGAATGCAAGTTTATTTATTCATCTATTCATTCACTGATTGGTTATAAAGGCTCTAGAGCCAGTGCAGAGGCAAGGGACAAAGAGTTAGAGGAATGAACTACAAGCAATAATTAGACAAGCTTTTCAGTCTTGAAGGCATGCAAGATTTTAAATGGAATTGAGAAAGTGAATCCAGAATAATACTTTTGGTTACACCAAAACGGCAGAACAAAAAGGATTCAGGTTTAGGACATAAAGGCCAATTTCAGTGTAGACACCAGAAAGTTTTTATTTACCCAGAAAGTATTTAATGATTGGAATAGGTTACTAGGGAAGGTGGTTGCAATTTGACCATGAGGACACTACAGCCAAGCACAATCCTGTTCTCATCTGCCATCCACAAAATAATTTTTTACAGCAGGAGTCACAAAATAGAAATCAAACACAGTAACAATAACAACAACAACTTTCATTGATACAGTGCCCTTCACATTGGGTAGTTTCTCAGAACATGAAGGATGTGATTCAACAGTTGCAATAAAGGTTCATTTTGTTTGTTGTTAATCCAGGACTCCTGAGACCAATTATAGAATTCCCTTTAAAGTAATGGTTGCATCTTTTGGGTATATGGTTTAATTTCAGGCTGCCGATTAGATAAAAATAGTGTTAGATCCATGTAAGTTCTTTTCTTATGTGTTTATACATATTTTTTGAAAATAAAGTTAAAAAAATGCACACATCTGGTTTTGCCTAAGTACAGGAAAGAAGGGATCTTTATTTATCAAAGCCATACTAACTGTGGTTTGTATTAGTGTAAATAAGCTTCTTTGGCATTTTTGTGGTCTGCATCTTATACTTATAATTGCTAGCCCAGCTATAATTACATGAATTAAGTTTTTCAGCAAGAGAAATGAACTTGAATGAAAAACTATCAAAGTTATTACATTTTTGCCTTGGGCAGAAATTATCTTTATTCTGATACAATAAAGTCTATTAATTTATGTTAATATCACTGTTATGAGTTTTAAGACATTACAAATGGTAGCATATATTATTTTTTAAAAATTAGAAATTTAAGTTAAGACGTGTAGAACAAGATGCCATTAAGGAAGAAAACAAAGTCTGGATCTTCATGTCCTATCACCTACCAAAATCTCTGATCTTTTCTTATCCCATTCCCCTGCTTGTCCCCTCCGCTTGGCTAATTTGGAAATGCTGGACAACATTGATGGCTAAGCTTTCCACCCCATCCATCATCGTCACTGTAAAATGCCCTGAGACATTAATCTTTGCGAAGGGCAATGTGTAAATGCATTTGTTTAAAAGTCTAGAGATTGCAAGAGAAAAAGAAAGACTGATGAAAGAAAACAGTTTAGTTTTGAAGTAGGGTAATGAACCAGAGTAAGCTTTTGTCATATACTGATTGCTACAAATCCCATATTAGACAGAACATTAAGATTGCCATTGTTAGTTTTTGATAGATTGCAGTATGATGCATCTTGATTTCAACATGAAGGAAGCAGAACTAAGGTGTACAAAGAATAATAAGAGCATAGAGGAAAGTTCAAATGAGCACTAACTATAGTAGTATCAATAAAGAAAGATAAGAAATGATGCAGTGTCAACAGAGGTCAATGGATTGCTGCAAAGAAAATAACCAAGCAGACTTGGTTAATCTGTCCAGGATTGAAAGTGAGGTGTTTTAAGTGTCTCCCCAGATATTGCAGCTCTATGTGTGAGTACTGTACTATATTTTTTGTATTGTATGCAGATTCTTTTTCTGTTTTAGTAAAATGTATTCTCCAATCTCCTGATGTTAATGAATAGCTGGATATCCTTGATAAGGTCAATTGCTATTAAGAATATCATTGATAGATTAATTTCAACAATGCTATGTGGAATTGGAGTGATCCTCATAGGAATATATGTTTAAAATGGAATAATTATATGAATCACATTTAAACTCATTAAGTGACATTATGAAACAGACCACTTACTCTTTATATCAAAGGTTGGTGTTTCTTCTTTCGGGAAATAACTAATATTTCTCACATTTTTCTTGTTTTCCAGGAAGCAAACCTTTGACTCGCAAAAGTAAGTATCAAAAAATGATTGTCTTATCATTGAAAAAACAGAAACAAATAATAAACTGAAAAGCTAAATCAATTTAAGAATTGTCAGTATAAACAGTTATAGCAATAAAACTTTTTTTAGATTTACTCCAATTTGGAAGGAAAGTTAAAATTCCGTTTGGTTATCCAAATGATGACTTTGTTCTTAGAGTTGAGAAAACTTGCAAACCTTCAACCTGAGTTGTAGAGATCGTTAATTTAGTAAACAGATACTTGGAGTATCTTACTGCTCAAAATGAACATGTTAAAGATAGCATAACAAAACAGGGCACATACCTATTAGGATAGATGCAGAACCAAACATAATATCAGCTGTTATTGAACTATTTATACACAAATCCCATATATTTTGATGCAATGAAACTTTGATTGACCCTTGTGTAATTCAGCCTCATTAAATGATGCTCCCAGTCTTGCTGCCCTTTAGTATATTTATTATAACAAACTAACTGTCAAACATTATTATTGCCTGTTAGGAGTCCTGTAGCTCAGTGGTTAGAGCATATGCTTCCCAAGCAAGAGACCTGGGTTCGATTCCGGGCAGGGCGAAATGTTGGGCAAGTTTCTTTACTCCACACGCCCCTGTTTACCTAGCAGTAAGAAGGAATCCAGTTGTTAGTCGATTGGTGGATCGCTTTTCTGGGGGTAATAATTCCTTCAAAAAATAATAATAATAAATTGGTTACTTCAATCCACGACTGTTTGTGGAACACTGCTGTGCACAATTGGCAGCCGCGTTTCACCCACAAAGTATACAGTCAATTCACTTTGCAGTATATTCTGTGAAGCGCTTTGAGACATCTCGAAGATGTGATCAAGCACTATATCAAATGCAAGGATTATTATTATTTTTATTGCAACCTTGTAGTCATTGACAAAGAAGATTTTTTTTAAAAAGAGGGATATCTCTTGTGGTTTGATTTATTTTCTATGTACTGTACAGTATACAAAATTTCTACAGGAACCTATGTAAAGGTTTCCTATGATGAGAATTCTGTAATAGCCAATTTTCATTGTTACATAATATACCTAATTTATCCCATTGGAATAAACCACCATCCTTATTTCAGGCTTTGGGATAAAATCTACAAATTTATTTAGAGAATAGAGGAGTCATGTGGAGTATAAACACCGGCACAGACTATTTGTGCTGAATGGATTGTTTCCATGCCATTTCACTCTATGTAACTCTATAATGTGAGTATTGACAACATCAACAAAATCAACAACTTCATTTATATAGTGCCCTTCACACGGGGCAGTGTCTTGGAGCACTTACAAACTAACCATTAGTTTACAATAGCAAATCAGGAAACAGGATCTTTATAATAATAGTAATAATAATGCTTGCATTTGATATAGTGCCTTATCAAGAATTCGAGAGTCTCAAAGCGTTTATCATCATGTTATTTTATTCTTATTCTTTTAGTTTGATACCTCACATACCCTAAGAGTGTGTCTGTGATTATATGTCATACTCTATGCAAGTGTCAGCCTGGTGCAGTGAGTCAGAAGGTTGTTGGTTCAAGCCCATGTCGAGACTTAGAATCACATAGTCTAAGATAACGCTCCAGTACAGTGGTGGGGTGTGTTGCATTATTGGAGCTGCCGTCCTTCAGATAAGACATTAAACTGAGGTCCAATCTGCCTGTTCAGGTGGATGTAAAAGATTCCGTGGCACTATTCGAAAAGAGAAGGGAGTTTCTCCTGGTGTCCGGCCTATAATTGCCCAAATAAAATTGGTCACTCACTCCATGGCTGTTTTTGGGACATTGCTGTGTACAACTGGCTACTGTGTTTTGCCCACAAAAAATATGCAGTCAATCTACTTTTCCGTATACCCTGTGAAGCACTTTGAGATGTCTTGATAACATGATATCAAATACAAGGATTATTATTTTTATTATTCTATTCTAAACAGTATTTTTTCTGAATTTTGTAGAATAGAAGTTGGGTCATTTACCAAATTGTTATTTAAATTTGAAGATCCTTCTGTTTTTCATACTCATGTACATTATACATTACATTGAGGCTACATAAATTCATTGATCTTGAAACTCTTAATAGTCATAATTTATTCTAAAACTCTTAGTGAATGAAGTTTGTTTTGTAAGGAATATTAGGAGCCCAATATTCCTGCTAAAATACTCTAAGATTTTGATGCTGAAATTGAGGTGATTGCCTTGGAATTTTTGGTTACAAAGAGCTCTGGAATATCTATGGAAACCCACTACAAAACTAAGACTAAATTTAAGAATTTTTAAAAATTGTGCATGATTTCCAATTTCAAATCACAGAGTTAAGGCTAAATTCATCAAGAATTTAAAACTTTTGGATTCTATGTAAAAACAGCTGTATATCAGTGTTTAAAATGAACAAGTCAATCAAATCATTGCAGTCCACCTCTGCCAAATCTACCATTTGGTATTCACTTACGTGAATTATAGATCAGTTTCAATCATCACTTGTGAGGTAGTAAGCACTTTGTTACAGAAGAAACGGTAATGATGTTTAGAACAAATGGTTTGAATCAAAAGCACAAGTACCCAATAGATTTATCAGCATTATATTCAGAACATATGTTCATTGTTTTTCTAGGGCATAAGTTAGAGAGTTTTATTGGACTCATGGGAAAGCGTTCTTCAGCTGCTGGTAAGTAACCAACAAAAAATATCAAATTAAGATATTTGCTTAAAAATCCTGATTTTACTGTGCCATTCCCTAATCACTTTAGTTTTTCCAATGATGATTTTTTTCTCCTCCTACAGATTCCTCTTACGAGTGGAAGCCAGTACAAGACTTTATCCAAAGACGTTAATGAATCATTAGAGAATAATATCCAATGGATGTAATTTGTTTTAATTTGCCAGGAGGAGAGGTTATAATGTTATAGTATATCTCTCCCTGGTATGAGTTGATTGTTAAAACTATTAATTAAGTCTTTCGTTGAGAGATTTATTATTTTTTTCTTGTCATATTTACAAATGTTCAAAGTAGGGTGAACATTAAGGAGGTGCCAAACGTCATCCGAGTGTGTATTAAACAGATTTTGATAAAACTCACAATGTCCGTGGTAATTGGAAAAATAAATGGTCTCATAATTGATATTCTATTATTTTGTCATCTCTGTACTCAAATTGTCATTGTTGCCAAATGTGTTCAACAGATGAATACATTAGTCTCAGAATTCATGGTTGATTTATAGTGAGTGATACAGAACTAGTGATGGTTTTATGATTCAGTACATATTATTACAGTTTGTATTTTAATGTGCCTCATTGTTTCATAATAAATGTATTGTAATTAATGCAACAAAAACATACTTGTATTATTCTAAGACATCTATGAGAATGTTCGCCAGCAACATATAAAAAATGTTTCAATTGGATTTTTAAAATGCGAAGTGTGCATCATGACTGGGATTGCCATTCATTGTTTAACCAATTTGGCTGGATTAAAAATGTTTTTAAAAAAAACTCACACTGCTATTTTGCGTAGACAAAATTAAATCGAAAAGGAACTATGGATAATAATTAATAAATTCAAAGTATTTGGTGAACAAAATATATTTGTTGCCCACATTTATTCCTCAGAGATTTAAAGTGGTCAATTACAGTATTATAAATATCATTCTCGCAAGCTTGAATTAATTTTGGCATCTCATTGCAATGTTAGAGACTATACTTGGATGAACATTTGAGGAGAAAGAATATAAATGGATGTGAGGAAAGAGAAGGAAACTAGGATAATAGTATCATTTCAGAAGTTGAACAACGTTCTGGTCAGTCCACATGTGAAGTGCTTCTGGAAGCGCTTTGCGGCGTCTCAGCGATGTGATAAGGTGCTATATCAAATTAAAGAATTATTACTATTATTATATTATTACTAAATACAATTCCAGTCATTGCAATATAAAGGAGTTGCCCTGGTCCTAGAGGTAGTGCAGAAGAGAGCAATGAGGATGTTCAGAGAAATGATCAGTATCTTGGAGTGCAGTTCTTCTGATAAGACATTAAACCAAGTTTCCCTCTGCCTGTTCAGGTAAATATTAAAAATCTTACAGCACTGTTTGAAAGGAAAATAGAGCTTCTCCCAGTATCCTGGCAAACAATCTCCCAATAAAAAAGTGGTCATTCACATTATTATGGCAATTAATGGAACATTGCAGTGTGCAAATTGACTACTACATTTGCTTACACATGCATTTTTTTTGATCAGCCGGGTAACCGACACATGCGGAAACCCATCCTCATGCTTAAGAGTATCCAAACCAAACTGAGAATCCCATGCATCCCACCTACACATGGGAATTCCAGAGCTAGATTGTTGGAATGGAATTCACACTCTCTCCCAGCAGGGACACATCCTGCTTACCCAACTCCGGATAGTATAGGTGCAGATTGGCAAGAACCAAGGCTTGGGGACCCCAGAGTCTGAAATGGAGGTACTGCTGGGCATTGGTAGCAACTTTCCAGTTGCTTGCCCAGCTAGGACCACCCTTTCCTTTGGCTTTGGCTTGCAGAGTTAACAGGAGCTGATCTGCATTCAGTGATTGGTCTGCCCTTCCAAGTCCTGTTGAGCCAGGCTGGCTGTGCTGTTGTCAGCGTGCCCTGGAGTATTGCAGATCTTCCTGACCCAGGAGCCAGACTACCGAGTCCACTGGCTCGATTCTGACATTCCATAGCCAAATATGTCACCTTGGAGCCAGTTCAGCTCCAAGGAGAATCCGCTTACCTCCCCCCAAGGAGGACAGTCTCTAGTTGATTGTTTATCATCCAACAAGCGTGGGTTTGAGCCCTCACTAGGTGGATGGTAGGCATCAGGAACTCCCTGCAAGCTTTCTGGTGGCCAATAAAGCTCAGAATGAAATCCGTGGGAGCATTGTCACCAGTATATTCTGTGAAGTGCTTTAGACGTCTTGAAGATGTGATAGGGCACTATATCAAATGCAAAGATGATTATTATTATATTATTATCTTTCTGTCCGCAACTTACACATGCAGTCGCTACATTTTGCAGAAAACGTTGTGAAGTGCTTTGAGATGTTTCAATATGATAGCACATTGTATCAAATGCAAGGATTGTTATTATTATAAATTAGGTCTCTTCAAGAGATGCAACACTGCTGTGCGCAATTGGATGCCTCGTTTCACCCCAAAATACACAGTCAATTCATTTTACAATATATTCTGTGAAGCGCTTTAAGACATCTTAAAAACATGATAAGACACTATATCAAATGCAAGGATTATTATTATTATCATGATAGAGATGTATAAGACTTTTAATGGAACTGAGAAAGTTAAATCCAAAACAATAATTTCAGATATCTAGGGCACAGATTCAGGGAACTAGAGGGTAGTTTTGGAATAGACACCAGAAAGTATTTATTTACTCACAGGGTATTAATGAGTAGAACAGTTTGCCAAGAAGGTTGTTGAGGCCAAGGCCTAGGAATTTTTAACAAACAAACCGTTGCAGTGATAGGAGGCCAGGAGGTTGAGTATTCTGAAAGGATGAGATCAAATGACCCAAAAGGCCTTCTATGTTCAAACCAATCCTGTGATCTAGTTAGCTCCAGTCGCTAACAAACCCTTAGAGTAAATGGGCCAAATGGGCTTCTAATACAGTAGCATTCTTATTATTATGCGCCCCTTTATAATGCAGGTTTCTTGCGGATCCGAGGTTGGCTCAAGCACACGCACTGGTCAACCTCCCTCATAATGTCCACAGAAACCACTCAGGATAATCTGCCGACCTAGGCAAAACCTCAGTGTGCCGCTCCCTCACCCCCTCCCCCCACTCTGAACATCGCAATTGACTCCACTTACTTTGACACCGCTGGTTGTTTTATTTTTATGAACATTTATAGACAAATTATGTTCCTTATTCTGACTACATAGTAAAAAAAAACCCCAGTCATGTTCTTGTCTCACTCAACCAACACGGCTTATTTACCTTAATAGTTAAAATAGTTAAAAACCATAATATGTTCAACTGCAGAAAGTTGGTGCTCACCCAGGCCTTGATGTTTGAGAAGGAGGGGGACAGAAGATCAGTGAACCTGGGATTTGCCAAGAATGCCAGAGAGGATTAACTCGATTCTGATATTTGATTCCAAAGCATGTCACCCAGGAGCTAGTTCAGCTTATTTCTTACCTCCTATCTCCTACCTCCCTACCTGCCCCTCCAAGGAGGCTAGTTGCTCATTTGACACTAGTTGCTCATTTGACATCTGCCAAGCACAGGTTTGAGCCCTCGCTTGGTGGACAGCAGCTCCTAGAAACACCTGGATCGTCCTACACCCTGAAAAACAAGAGAGCAAAGAATGGCATCTACTTGACATCAAAAGCGATAAAGATAATCAATAATAAGGAACAATACTAAGGTCAGAGAAGGACATAAATAGAAAGAAATAGCAGATGCTACACGAACCAAACAAGAATAGAAATACTGAAAATCCGCAGCAGATCAATCAGTATCTGAAAGTAATAGCTCGGTAAATGTTTCAATTGCAGCCCTTCATCAGAAAGAAAAGTGACCATACTTTTTTCGGTCAAGATGAAAGAGATAAAGTCCATTGAGTCCACATATGCTCCCAAGTTTATTCAACATTGTATCCTCCAGTGTAAAGTGGGTAGTTGGGGGTGGTGGGGGAGAGCTTCGTTGTTGGGAGGTGCTCTCCGTCAGTTGAGGTATTAAAAACTAGATCCTATTTGTCTGTTCAAGTAGATGTTAAAGATCCCATGACATTATTTGAGAAAAGCAGGGAATATCTCCTTATGTCCTGGTCAACGATCTCCCAGATAAATTGATCATTCACTTCATGGCTGTTTTGTGGGACATTGCTATGCATAAATTAGCTGCTGTGTTTGTCTGCAAATGTTCACTTCACTTTAAAACAATTATCTGTGAATTGCTTCTGGACATTATAGATTTTACATTGAATTTATTCATGGACAGCAATATCAACGGCAAGCTATGTGGTTTTAGCTGATTAGACTCGCAGTAACCCAACGTACACTCTTGGGTCCCCAAACCTTGGTTCTTGCCAACCTGCGCCAAATACTTTCTAGAATTTCCAGAGTGAGGTTAGCAGGATGAGTCCCTCCAGGGAGATAGTGTGCATTCCATTGCAATAATCTATCTCTGGGATTTCCATGTGTAGGTGGGATGCATGGAATTCTCAGCTTGGTTTAGATATTCTTAAGCAGGATGATAGGTTTCCGCATGTGTCAGACACCTGGCTGACCAAAAAAAAACTATATTGAATATTATTGTTCATTCACAAATGTATTACGTTTCCCATGAGCCTTCTCTAGTGCCCAGCTATTTGATTCATGTTTGTGCATGTGTGTACGGATGTTTTTAGTGCAAGTTTCTTTACTCCACATGCCTCTTTTTACCTAGCAGTAAGTAGGAACCTGGTTGTTTGTCGATTACTGTTTATAGGATATCGCTTTGTGCAATTGGTTGCCATGTTTCCCCCAAAAATATACAGTCAATTCACTTCACAGTAGATTCTGTGAAGCACTTTGAGACATCTCAAAAACGTTATATCAAATACAAGGATTATTGTTATTATGAGACAAAACTAGATATAAGCAACTAAACAACAGTTAAAATTTCCTGGAATTCAACGAATTTGAGGGAGTGGAGCCAGTAACTGTAACTAATAAGGCTTTAATGTCTATCATGAAATCACTGGCTCATGGGACAGGATGTATGTTTAGATTTTCAATTTAGTCCACAAAAATATAATGATTAATTAATCAAAAGCCTTGTGGCAATCAAAATAAATTACACAGTGATCTCATTTTCCTCTAACACTAATGTCCACTAACAAGATTACCCGGATGTTCCTGCTAATCATTTGTTCATACTTCCACACTTCACAGGATCACTACAATCTTATGCCAATGCTTGTCAGTCTTCCCAACTCTTCCCTCCACAAGCTGCAGATCATCCAGAACTCAGCAGCTCGTGTCCTCTCCCACACCAGGCTCTGTGACCCCATTACACCTACCTCTGTCCGGCTCCACTGGCACCCGATTCCTCTTAGGGTTGAGTTCAAAATTCTCGTCCTCACTTTCAAGGTCCTCCATGGCCTTGCTTCCTCCTACCTCTCCTACCTGCTAACCCCTTATTAACCTGTCTGCTCCCTCTGCTCAGCAGGCTCTGGCCTGCTCAAAATCCCCCGCCCGGCCCACCCATCATCGTCACTTGACCCTTCAGCCTCTCTGCCCCCACCCTCTGGAACTCCATCCCACATCCATCCACTTGCGTTAAGAAACATAGACTGCCACCGCTCTTTATTGTTCCTCATTATAAAGTGGCTTGGAACTTTATGGACCCAATGTTATGTGGGTTCTACTATAGTAACAAAATTGTACCATCAAATTTAGGAAACACCTAAAAAATATGCAGAAATCTTAAGATCATAACTTATACATAAAATTATTTATTTTCATAAGCCTGTGAAGCATGTGATAAATGTGTCAGATAACACCATATGTAGTT